GCGACAACCCCAAGGCCAAAGCAAAAGAAATAAACAAAGCGCTGCCACAACAGACGTGTCCAGTGGGAAAACACAAAGCTGCTCTGATGTATCCTTACAGCTGATTGTCACTTGATTGATTTTTTTCTCCACTTTGTTTTATGCTTTAGTGATTATTTTTGCTTATACTAACATGTCGTATAAAGAACTGGATCTTAACTCAAGCGGTGCAGAAACGAGGTCCTGCAGACGGCGTACAGTGAAGCTCTGCTTCTCCCACATCTAAAAGACTTTTCCTCTGATCAAGTTGTTGTGAGTAACGTCTTGTCACTTTTCAATCTCCAAGATACAGGTCCATCTTGACGAGCGTGATTTACAGTTTCTATTCATTTCAACTTTGAATTCAGGTCAACTTGCAGAAGGAATGATTGAAATAACAACCATTTTTTAAAGATATTTTCTTTCACTTGTATTTTTGTTTTTAAGGGAAAAAACTAAATTCAGTTACTAAAAATGGCTTTTTTCAATGACATTCTAATATTTTAAGAACCCCCTGTAAATTGCGACTAAATCTGTGTCCTAAATCAGCTGTTTGTTTCTGTTTTTTTTTTCCAATCAGCTTTTCCTCCGGTACCTGGAGTTTCTTTACCTGCGATACTCCACAGATGGTTCCTCACAAACGCACGGCTACAGATCACCCAGTTTGAATCAGGTATTTAAGATACTCTTGAGCAGACTGAAAGTTTGCACCTGATATCCATCAATTATTTTGCTGTCTGTGCATTGCAAACCAAAATAAAGGTGTAAGCAAATCAGATGTCATAGCTTTTCTTTTCTTTTTTTGTTGTTGTCCTTTTTACTTTCCTGTTGAATGCAGGTCATGGATTGGGTATGCATGTTGTTGGATGCCCATTTCACTGTGTTGGTAATGTCTCCAGTGGCCAAAGGCTTGCTGTTGAACCTTCAGTCTTTTGTTAGATCTCAGGTAAGCATCCATTTTTTGCTACAATAACCAGCCGATTGTTTCTGGGGAGTTTATTGGAACACATTGCACATCGTTTTTTTTTTTTTTTTTTTTGGTCTTTTAGGTAAGACTGTTTTCTGAGCTCGGGAAGATTGAGGGCAGCCTCCAGGAGCTCACTAAGATGAAGATGAAGAGAGATGTGGGGGCATACTCTATTGAAGTCATTGAGCTGTACTAGAGGGTGTGGCTTTATAAAACACCTACTGTTGCTGTATGTATTGTCTTTAAATGTTTTTTGTTGGGGTTTTCTGCCTCAGCTGCTTCCTTAGGTTTTACTGTGAAAGAAAAGGAGATGTACGTCTGGCATAATTATTTCTTTAGTTGCATGTGTCTGAAAAAATCTTTTGTACATTTATTTTAGATGGTGGGATTGTGACTATTCTGGATTTGCATGTTTAATTCAAAGTTGTACATCTGATGGTTTTGTAGACAAGTGGAGGAGAAGTCTCTCCATGGAACATTATGGTAAAGTTTTTATATTATATATATACATATATATTAATCAAACTTTAATAATGCCCACAGAATTCAGTATTTTTGTTTTCTTTGAGTGTCATAATACAGCTAATTTTTTTTTTGTAAATCTATTAATTGCTTTTGTATTTTACACATTAAAAAAAGCCTTGATTCTAAATGTCTATGAAAAAATTTATCCATTTGTGTCATTTTGTCCATTGGAACAACAAGAAGTTAGCCAACCTTTTAAAAACCTGCCTCATTGTTCTTCACTATGCTTCACGGAGGCTCTGAAGACATACTGTTTTAAGTTTTAAATTCTACCAAATTAATGTAAAAGCATCGGTCCTGCTATGAAGCTAACCGGAAGTTGCCTGCATTGTCAATGACCATTCGCCACTGCAAAGAGAGAAGCGTGGAGCCAAACACTTCTCTCAGGTGTTAATGTAGACTACTTGAAGGCCAACATGTACACTTCCTCCGCCGCCATTACTAAAATTGTTATTTTAAAACAGCGCAGGAAATCGATGTCATCTTTGCAATTTTTTTTATATGTTCGCCAAGTGGCTCGCGGTTGAAATTCAACAGGAGAAATCCAAGTCAACTGGAGAAATGGAGCATGTAAGTAGATTAAAATCGAGTGTAATTGCGTGGGAAGGCAATAGTCAGGCTACAAGTCAGTAAATCAGTGTATTTTTTATACCTATGTTCAAAATGTTAAGAAGAACGTCTGTAGGAGGGGGAAAAATGGCGACGAGTCAACTGGGTTTTTTTTCTTCTGCCATTTCACCTGAAGGGCTGTGTAAAATATAAAAAAATAAAAGGTACTTGAGACTTAAGGCAGTGAATACAGGGAAGTACAACAAGAGCAATAAAAACACAAACGTGAATTCTCCCGAGTTCAACAAGCCTTGGGATAAAATCTTTAATACTCTTGTAATGAAGGTTTTTGCTGCTGAATAACAGAACTTTAGCCGAAACTAGCTAGCTTACCTGTGCACCAAGTAAAAAGAAAACATTTTTATGGAAGAGGAGATTCCTTCATATCGGTCAGAATCACCTAAATTGTTTCTTTTTGCTAAACACTACAGTTATGAGAGAGAGAGAATAAATAAGACTGTTAACGTCTTCAACATCGGAAGTTTACGTACACTTCTCGCATTTCTGCAAAGACTTTTTCGCCCACACTGTCGTAACCGGGTGTTAAGTGTGTAGAATTCTGAGGAAAACTAATAATTTTCATACAGTTTGGAATAAGGCTGATATAAAATGCGTTGAGTCGTCGACTGCACCCAATTTCGACTCAAACGGTCCAGTGTTTTAACTGACGGCGGTTATAAACGTTGGGTTGGTTTCCGTTGCTTCGTTTGCAGACGCATTTTTAGGCCAACTCTCCCCGCTGACTGACCGCAACCAGTGCAGACCGACGCCGATTATCGCCATTTACAGGCGTGTGGTGGGGTCTTGTGAAGATCAACTGCATTGGCAGCTTTGTACCACTTGTTTTGAAACGCTTAACAATATGACACTATCACAAACAGCACCACATCTCACATGTTCTACTGTCAAGTACAACCAGTAATGATGGAAGGAAAAATGCTTTTATATTTTTATATGCTGTTGTGTTCTATTATTGCACAGAACAAAATGGCTTAGTTGGAGATCAATTTAAAGGTCAATTTAAACATGTCTGACTAAAGATAGTTCCATAAATACTGTAGTTTTGTACATGCAATTCATCCAAGACTTTATATTTGTTTTCTTTCTTTCAGTATGTTTCAAAATACCATGTCATATTTTTATGTTGCACGGGAAAATAATTGTATTTTTCATTCATTTTCGATTGCAGATGGTAGTTAGATTACTTGCACACAAGAGGGCAGTGTGGTGTTAGAGGAGACTGGTGTGGGTAAAGAGAGAGGTTTGATTAATTTTATTCAGTCACTTGTATATTTTGCTTTTAGCTTCAATTTGTTTGGCAAAATGTAATGTTGATGTATTTGCTTTACATATTTTTTGTAAATTAGGGAGACAAATATGAATTTATTTGATTGATTTGATGTCTTCTTTTCCTTCCACAAAATTGTAACAAATTTTTGTTACATGTAGGTAGATTTTTTTGAAAATTTACTGTTAAAATCTTATATTAATGCATTTAATAACTTTTTTTAAAAAAGATTGTTAGATTTATTAAAGAGTTATGATAAATGTTTATTGTTTAAGAATATCAATTTGTAACTCATCAACCAAAAAAAGAAAGTGTTTAGCGCCATCTGCTCGGGTGCCTTGCCTCGCCAAGTTTAGGAAGAGAAGAAATAACTCGACACATTGAATTAAAAGTCCTTGGACTTTTTATTCTTGTAGTTTTAAACACCATAAATCAGATGGAGGAAGAAAAGAAAATCACGTTGTGAAATAAGTGTGTACCATCATAAGTTGATACTTCAGCTTGATTGAGACAAGACAGCAGCACTGGGCCAGTGAGGAGAGAGAGGACACACAGGATGAGAGAAAATCCTGTTGAAATTCCAGTGTATTAATGACGTAGAGCTTCCAGGCAGAGGGACGCCTCAAGACGGGACACAGAATCAAGAGACTGAAAACAGGAGCCACATGGCTCAGTTGGAGAGCAGGCGCACCATATGCAGAAGCTGCACTAGTCCCTGGTTCAGATTTCTTATCTGCTTTTAATTTTTAGCCAAAGTAACGAGCCACTGTTGAAGGTCCAAAGTATTCAACAAAGCATTACATTGGATGTGATTGTAAATGTTTGACTGGATTGGATTTTAATGAATTTAGAATTGGATTCTAATGGGATGTCTATAAATAGAAGTTGTTTGAGAAGTGTAATGAAATGGCATAATGTGGTATAATTGTGGGAAAAACAAGGCAATTTCTTTATTAGCTGTGATAATGAAAGGAAAAAAAAATGTCGTTGTCGGCAGGATTCGAACCTGCGCGGGGAGACCCCAATGGATTTCTAGTCCATCGCCTTAACCACTCGGCCACGACAACGTGTTATCATACGTCGTCAGATATGCTTTGATAAACCAGATGTTACCACGTATTTAATCTTTCCATGGACTATGTATTTATTCATATGTAAGAGCAGCGTTATTGATATTACGCTGTCAGAAAGCAAACGTTAGTAGGCTTGTCTGCTGAGCTGCTATTTAGAAAGGATAAAAAACACATTGTCAAAATGTAATTTATCTTTGTAAATTCAGTAGAAAATATAAAGGGATAATGCATCTGTGAAAAAAAAATATTTACTTTGAAATGTGAAAGTGTGAATGGGAAACACTTTAATAAGTTCTTGTAAGTCCAGCTCAGTGTCGTTCGCTGCGCCGAATGTGACGGTAATGGCGTCGGGGCTGAAAACATACTATACGAGGTTATTGCAGCGCATAATCCACGATATATCTGGCCCACATGTGTTTGCATCTGTTCATACACGCAGTAAACGGCTAGTTAGGTGCACTTAGCGTTAGCATGGATAAGTAATTTTATGAACTACGGCTATTGCGTCTGTTGTAGAATAGAGTCACGTGACTGCGAATTAACTCAGGTTTGGCAGCGTCAAGCTGGAAGTGACAGTCACGTCTCCGGAAGAGCGCCAGTAAACATGTTGAAACTTCATAGTTTTAGTCTTCTCCCTATATTGATTTTAATTAGTAGGAGGCGCAATAAGTTGTTCAAATTAATTCAGTTAATGATGTTTACCTTACTGTACCATTTTTATGACTATTATCAGTTCTTAAACGTGAATGGGAAAGAGGCTTACTTCCGGTTTCAACGTTACTGCTCGAGTGTAACTTTACGCAGCTTTGAGGCCTGCTGTGTTTTCAACGGAGGGAGAGTCGAGAAGAAAAATGGCGTCTGCAGGCGACTCGGAGCGGGACACCGGCCATTCAGTTTAAGCTTTCCTCCTGTAAACTGAGACCCGGGCTCTGAGGGGACCTATTGGGAACCGTCGCCGGACCCGCTATCTTCGATCTCCCCGTTTTTCTCCGGAGTGTGCGCTTCTTTCGAGCACCGAGATTGAAGCGGAACACAGTCGCTTCTCTCCTACAATGAGGGGGAGAAGAGGAAGGCCGCCCAAACAAGCAGCCGTGATGCGGGAAAGCTCACCGGGGCCAGTCCGGGGCTCTCGGGGCGGGAGGACCAGAGGGATGCGTGGACGGGGAAGAGGCAGAGCACGGGGCCGGGGACGAGGAGGAAGTGGCGGTGTTTGCAGCATCGGTTCCGTGGAGGTGGATACTGAGATCTCCGGCCGAGAGAACTTTCATTCGTCGCGGGGCCGTAGGAAAGTTGGAGCCTCCATAGCAGCGGCTGCAGCGGCATCGCGGGGTAGAGGAAGGGGAAGGGGGTCCAGAGGTGGCCGCGGCAGTAGAGGCGGAGTGAGGCGACCTCAAACCAAGGTGGTCTACGACGACAACAGCGACGAGGAGGACGATAATTTAAGCTACCGTTCTGACGAAGACGAATTGAACGACAATCCGTCGTCGGATCTAGAAGATGAGGAGGCCTTGGGAAACGAGTCTGACTATCTGGAGGACCTACCAGATGATGAGGATGCCAGCTACTGTACTGAGAGCAGTTTCAGAAGCCACAGCACGCTCGGGAGTACCCCAGGTACGTCGGTCTGCAAGTGCACGCAGTTAAGCAGAGCACGTTTGCAGCACTTAAAGTGTGCATTTTATTTTTAGCTCAAAACAGAAACGAAGCCGCATTGTTCAAAATGGAGCTGGCACTCAGAAACGGGCCTTTGTTTACCGTGCGCTCTACGGTCCGCTGCTATCCTACAGATCTGACCCCGCGCTCCGAGGGGCTTCGGTATTTTTAACTTTTGTCAAATCAGCACATGTTTTGTTTTTGTTTTGAAAGTGAACGTGCTCCTGCTTGATTTTACTTCGCGCTCGCTCGCGCCTCGTCTTTATAATTTGTTTACATAAGCGTGGAGAGACAGGATGTATGAACTCTCTCGTACACATTATATGCGATCCATGGACTTATATACAGTAAATATTATTCATTGAAATTTCTAGGTTTGCGCCGTAGTAATTCTCTGGGTGTTGTTTCTGGGTTTAGCTCACATTTGTAAATGCATTTAAGGCTCTTATTAAAACTTAATTACACTTTGCAAAACAGGTGTTACAGGTAGAACAATTTTCCACTGTAATTTTCACGATACGTAAAACTGTTAAAGCAGGGCATCATTCCCCCCCCCCCACACACACACGCACACACACACACACACACACACACACACACACACACACACACACACATGTGGCAACCTCTAATTTCTAACGCCGCGCACCGTAACCATAGTGACCGTGTGAAAGCTTGCCTTTTTCACGTGGACAGTTATGGACACGTTGATGAAGGCGCAGCTCAATTAAGACTATTTTACGTAATAAGATATTTGCTAATGGGACTACGGCAAGCAATTACAAACGAGTTTTCTGTGACCTAAATCTTTTTTTTAATTATTTTTCACGTGATTTCTGTTTTCTTTCTGTCACACTTCACCACATGCTTAGATGCATCTGAAATGGTTCAAAGATTACACACATTTATCCCAGTTCCAGCGACCAGGATGTCTGATTTCTTTATATGAATGTATGTGTGTGTGTACATATACAGTTGTCATAGGCCTGTCAAAATAACACATTTTTCTGGACAATAAATTGTCCCAGAAGTTATTGCGATAAACGATAATATTGTTATTTAGAGACCATTTTCAAATAATGTAACGGTAATGGCATAAAAATGCAAGAACGCGTTGTTAAAGGTCAATAAACTTTGAATTCCAACACTGGACCGAGGATATTTAAAATGGAAATTTTAAATTAGAATATCCAAAATAAGCAAACAAAACAACAGAAACAACCAATAATTAAAATGGAACTTGAAGTCTCTGTAAACAAAATTGTCCTTCAGAAAAAGAGCTAGATGAGACCAAAGCACCAGACTGCAAACTTTCATCATCTGGTTTTTAGTAGAAAGAAACTAAAATGCAAATAGAAATGATTGGGCTTGCTTTAATTTAGCAAGCGATTAATTGATTTATTGTTTATCGTGACAGGCCTTGTCATACTGAAGTATTATGGCTTTATGAGAATATTATCTAAACCACAATGGTTATTGAAAAAGAATTACCTTTGTCAGCACTGAGGCCACAAAGGTTGGTTTTGGGCACGTTTTTTTATTACATTCAAATATCTAATGAAGGGCATATTGACAGGCAGGCTTAAATTATTCATACACCTGGTAGATTCAGATCGAAGTCATGTTTTATTTTGACTGGCATATTTCTTTTTGGCTGAAATTTTTGTTATGAAGAATCAAAAATATCAGTGGAGACACACAACAGTCTTATTAGTAATTTGCTTTTCCAATCATTATTAAGAAGAATATGTTTTTTTTCTATATGCCATATTTTGAACATGAATATAAACATGAAATCATTGTGGCTTTGTACATAATTATTATAATTATTTTTTGAGGAAAATAAGTAAATGCTTCCAAAATTAAGAATAATTCAGAACGTAACTGCTATTATCTTTTGGCCGAGACTGAGTCTAGAATTAGAAACAAAGGCAGGATGATAAACCATGTTGGTGTTGCAAGTTTTATTGATATTTCAGCTATATATTGTCTAACAGCAACAAAAAAAAAAAACAAAAAAACAATCAGCTTGCTTTTTTATTTTCAAAAACATTACAACTCCATATTTATGCGAGTGAAGGATTAACTTGGTGATCACTCTAAATCAGGTGTTAGCTTTATTGTGCATGATTAGACGAGGTTTGATTAGATTTTTAGCCCACCTCATTGCTTAGGTGATAAATAAAATTTGGTGTTAAACTCATCTCAACTGTTTGGTAACAGGGCGCTGACTTGTCATTAAAAACTTATTTTTAATGACAATGATGTTATTGTTGCTGTATTTAGATAGCTGTTACTTCTTAGTTTGTCTCCCATAAGACTCTGTGGAATATTTTCGTGATGACAAATTTTGCTGGATGACAAATTGTCCCAGAGATAATTGCGATTTAAGTACATTTTCAAGTAATACTATAATAATGTCATAATAACGCAAGTGCACCCTTGCAAATATCTACATACTTTAATGTTGTAAAGAACACTTAGCACTGAATCTGGAAGATATTTTAAATATTCAAAATAAGTAAACAAAAAAAAACAGAAATGGATTATGAAGTCTCTTTATTTATTCATTCACCAATTAGTGCACAGAGAACAAACATTATAGTCCAACAAAAAGAAGTATTGATCTCTGTTAACAAAATTGCCTTTCAAAAAATATTAATCATCCAAATGAAAACTTTTGCGTTCATTTTAATTTGTCATGCGGCTAATTCGGTTATTCCTTGTTGTGAAAGGTTTTCTTCTTTCAGCATTTACTTGTTTATTAAAATGTAACTAAGGCAACTGCAAACACTCATTGATTTTTGCTGTATGTATGAAGAGGCTATTAGCATTCAGGTATTACAGTGTACAAGAAGGTTACCTTTGGTATTGCATCCTACCATTCTCTCTTTTGACGACTGTTTTTATTCGTTGCAGGTCGGAAAAGGAGTCGCGTTCCGCAGCCTCGCTCTCCGCTTCCGGAGACAAAGGACATTCCCCCCCTGGAGCTTCCCAAGTCCTCAGAGGACCTCCTGGTTCCTACCTCGCAGCTCCTCAACGTGTCCGCCGTCTACGAGGTGCTTCGTAACTTCGGCACGGTGCTGCGTCTCTCCCCGTTCCGCTTCGAGGACTTCTGCACGGCATTGTCCAGCCAAGAGCAGTGCACGCTGCTGGCTGAGACCCACATCTCTTTGCTCAAAGCGATCCTCAGAGAGGAGGACACATCTAACACCACGTTCGGTCCCGCTGACGTCAAGGACTCGGTTAACTCCACGCTGTATTTTGTGGACGGCATGACCTGGCCGGAGGTGGTGCGGGCGTACTGCGAGAGTGACTCGGAATACCGTCACATCCTGCCCCTCCTGGAGAACGAGGATTACCCGTACGAGACTCTGGAGAGCAAAGTGAAAGTCCTCCAGTTTTTGGTGGACCATTTCTTGGCGACCAACATCGCCCGCGAGGAGCTGATGTCAGAAGGCGTGGTTGCGTACGATGACCACTGCAGGGTGTGCCATCGGCTCGGCGATCTGCTGTGCTGCGAGACGTGCTCGGCTGTTTATCACTTGGAGTGCGTGAAGCCTCCCTTGCAGGAAGTGCCGGAGGATGAGTGGCAATGCGAGGTCTGCGTGGCACACAAGGTGCCCGGCGTGGCGGACTGCGTGCCTGAATTGCAAAAGACCAAGCCCTTTCTTCGTCAGTTACCGATTGGCTTTGACAGGCACCATCGTAAATACTGGTTCTTGAATCGCCGGATTGTTGTGTAAGTACACAGTGTTCGTAAGCAGTGATCTGTTTTCAACAGAGAGTCATGTTTTCAGGAGAGTCAGTGATTTCATTGTTGCACACTGTAAGTAGAACATATCAAAGCACATGAAAGTTATTCGTACTACGTGCAGAAATAAATTTGGTAAATATTCAAAACACAAAACTGCACAGCTAATCTCAAAATTATTTGTACTCCTAGCAGAAATTTGATGGCAAGGCGATCTCGAGTGCCAAGAAAGACATGGACAAATAACATTTAATTTAAAATTTTGATTACAGATTACTTTCATTTTACCAGAAACTTTATTTTTGATAGAAAATCAGGTGGATCTCTGTCAAAACGATAGCAAAAGGACGACCAATATCGAAAAAAAAGTATTTACATTTAATTTTTTAAATGCCACCTCGAAAATTATTTGATAAGATCTGGTTTAACTCAACCCTTTGACTGAGCCATTCCAATGAACCACTCACCAGAAAATGTTGAAAACATTAAATCAAACCTAAATCTCCCAGCGCTATGACTAATGTTTGGGATATGTTTTTGTTTTGTTGCATCCAGCAAGAGTCTCCAAAACTTTCAGTGGTTCCCATAATTTTCTGGCTAATAGGACATCCGGTTTTCCTTAAGGTCGGATTTTTCCATTCCAAGATTTTCAGGGATGGTTGACAAATTGGAAATAATCTACTCCTGGTTATTATCTTTAAACAAACAAAAATACATTTAGACATTGAAGTAAAGATTCCTAACTTAAACAAATGTGGCTGTTGGTTGATGCTTCAATCGACAAATGGAAGTGAGAGTTCTTTCTTTTAGTGCATTTACTAATAAAATATCTTTTTCAGTATTTGGCCAATCCGGGCTAATCCATGGAAAATTATCTTATTCTGACCTATTGTGACAACATTGTTAGTCTCACCCCATCTTCTGAGGTATTAACAGTTTGTAAAATTTGGGAACAATATACGTTGTTTCATTTAAAACAGGTAAACAAGCTTCCTTACAAATATAAACTATTAATGATGTTCAGTGAACCACTGGTGCTGGACAATTCAAAGAATAAAATAGCCTCTGGTTTTAAATACCAGCCTGGAGCCAAAGCAACACCTACAGATAGATGTCTGTGCAGTTGACAGAGATCGCTTCTGTTTATATGACATGAAAATATGACAAAAGTCCCTTAATTGCATTACAATATCCCAAAATACACAGTAGTCTGTTACATCACTTGTGAAATATTTCTTACAAGTAAAGTAGAAAATGTTTCCAGTCCAGGAAAGGAGAAACTCAGTATTTAGTTGGTAGCCGTAGTTTTGTATTTGGCTGATTAAATGAAGCTACTGTATTCCTTAATAGCTGCTGTAACTTTCTCACTTACGATACAATACCATTTTTGCAGATTTTAGAATTGGCCGATACCAACATTGACCCGATACGATACAGGAACCCATCATACATGCTATTATGACTTTTTTTGTAATGTGGAATGCTAGAAAAGGCTCGATCAAGTGATATTTCTCAGAGAACAATGGTCAACAACAACAGGTATGAGAACAACTGACCCATTTATTACCAAGCAACGGGTCTCCATGTGGAGCGGACTAAACGCTGCAGTTGAACATTTCTGTCATTGTGCTTATATTAGAGATTGTAGATGCAGGTTGATGACTGAATGTTTCATTGGGGATCCTCTAGACTTGATAAAGCTCTATACAAGTACAGGCCATTTACCATTTCACCATTCTAGTAACACATGAACAAATATAAATGAAAAAATAATATTGTTTTAATCGAACTTTCATCTCCAGTGAGGAGGACGGTGAGCAAGAAGACAAAGCCATCTGGTACTACAGCACAAAGGTAGAGATTTGGGTTTTTTCCCCACGTAAAGAAGTACATATTTGTTTTTAGCGCAGAGGCAATCATACTTAAGTCTCCCACACTCTGCGTTTGCCAGGTCCAGCTGGCTGAGCTGATAGACCGGCTGGATAAAGAGTACTGGGAGGCCGATCTGTACGCAGCCCTCGAGGAGATAAGGGACGAGGTGCACACTCACATGGACATCACCGAAGATCTCACCAACAAGGCTCGTGGCAACAACAAGTGTTTCCTCACCGCTGCCAATGGTAAAGAATGGGAAATTCCATAAGCGTATGATTCTTCTTGTCTTTTGTTTTGATTATTTAATATGGTATGTTCTCTCATTGCTATCAAATGAGTGCAAAAGATCTTTTTTTTTTTCTAATTATTTTCAGGTTTAAAAATAATGATGCACAGAAAACCTTTTTTTCTTCCACTTTTTCTGTTTTTCTTTTGCCCTTTTTTCCCTTTTTAACCTAAATTTCCAAGAGGTGAAACTTCCTGTGTCCATCTCACCACGGACATAGCTTTGTTTTGATTAAAGAAAACAATAATTGAACACTTTATTGCCTCTAGCTTGTGGGCAATATTTCTGCACTAAATTTGAAAAAAAAACAAAAAAACAATTGCACACAAAGCAATCCCCTTGGTCCCAAGCAGCGCTTCATTTCTGCAAACTGATATTACAACAATAACTGCAGATCACTTTTCCTGCTGGATTTAGCATGGAAGCAGTTCCCTTAAGCAGCTGATGTAAAAATAATAATACTAGCCTTCACCTTTTTAGCAGATTTTCCTTTCTGGACTTTGAATTTGACCATTTCTTAATATTATATTTCCCTTCTCTGTTTCCACTCAGATGAAATCTTGGAGCGACTGCGAGCTAAGAAGGAGGAAGAGCTGGAGGAGGTGAAGAGACGGGCTGCCGAAGAGGCCCAGAGGGCGCGGCAGGAGAAGCAAAAGAAGGAGCAAGATTTGGAGAAGGGAGAAGAGGAGGCCAAGCCGAAGGATGAAGAACAGGAGGATGGCAAGGCCAAAGAGCAGTCTGCGGAAGACGAATCAACAAAAGAGGAGGCCGCACAGGAAAAAAACGATGGCGAGAAGAGCAGTGGTAGGTGTTTTAGGAAAAAAATACGCTTGTAGGAGCAAATTTGTTTTAGTAACTGTCTGATGATTTGGCCATATTATTCTTCCTCCATTTGTAGTTTTGTATTTCATTGCCCTTATGGAACATTCACATTTCACACTACTTCTGCTGCTGTTCTACAGTAAGTGAAACTCCGCCCTCCAGCCAAGAAGACGGCGGCGGCAGTGTCGGGGATGTGTCATCGATCCCGTCGACTCCTTCACAAGCCTCCGCTGGGAGCGGCGGCCTGTCCTCCACTGTGGAGGTTCGGCTAGAACGGTGCATCTTCGAGTCGGCGTCTAACAAAACTGAAGGTACAGTTTAAGTTTAAGCAGGACTATTTTTCTTAGGCTATCCTGAAGGCTGCAAAGGAAATTAACTTCTGACTTCCTTCTTTCTTTATGTTTTTTTTAAATCATCTTTGAGAGTATTTTTTTGCTTTTAACGACAACAGCTTGTTTTAACTGAAACAAATAAAATTCATTTTGAGCTTTTCTGGAAAATGTTTGACTTCAACAGTCAGTATCATGAGGAAGAGCTCAAATTAAAATTTCTTACACCTTTTTACTCAATTCTCGTCTCCCCTCTTATTTGGTGTGCTGCAATATTCAAAAGGCTTCAGCAGGGGGAGCCAAAGCCTAACTTAAATTTTACTGGCAAGTGAAAGTTTCTTTATTCAGTGACATTATATTACTTTCTCGCTTACTCTTTTATTGCATTTTTAATTTATTGATTCTCTTCTTAAACAGATGGATATATATACACTCAATTTATCCTGTCATGAAGACATTCAGCGTCACAGCAGCAATGAGCAACTCACAATAAAAAAAAGAGTCAAACCACAATAAAAAAGAATCTAAACTATAACTAAAAGCTATAAACCATGTATAAAAAATGTTTTGTTAAGAAAGAAAATGTGATATTTCACCTAAAAATATAAAATGAAAGAAATTTCTTATATATTTACTTATTATTAAAATGTGCACTACAAAAATGCCAGTGCAGAATTAGATATTATTCTGGGTAAACTGAGAAAAATCAAATCAAATCTGCTACCTGTTTAAACATGCAAACCATTTATCCGTCAGTGATTATAACCTTTATTTCCCCCCCTTCCAGCATCTGACTCCGTGCCTGTCAGTGGTGACGGTGTCCCCAGCCTGAGTCAGCTCTCCCAACCCTGTGAAGACAACAGCAACAGCAGCGTTGCCGGCGTTGCGTCCAGGGGCCCGGAGCCCCCAGACTTGGCTGATAGATCATCCCAGTCATCGCTGGCGAGCCTCGATGACGCAGGTCCGTCACTTATGAAGTCGTACAAAGTATAATACTTAATAATAGGGCTGCTGCAACTAACAGTTGTTTTAATCGGATATAAAATATCGGCATGTTTTGCTGATTTTTGTTTTATTTAACCACTTAGATCTATTTACACAATATTACAAATATTACGATAAAAGATGCAAGTAAAAAATATATTCCTAAGTAGTAATTTTTTAATAAGATTGAAGAGTGTAAAACTAAAACTACGCCAATTAAATTAAAATGTGTATATATTTTGTACCATTTTTGCTTAATTATTGCCACAAATAAAACAATTTTTTCAGTCCTTATACCCCAGTTAACAATTAATTGATGACTAAATTGGTTGATGATTATTTCAATTACCAATTAATCATGATTAATCCGATTAATCGTTTCATCCCTACACAATTACTGACAAAACATTGCGATGAAAGCTTGTTACAGTCTGAATTTTTCACAATACAAAACGGTATGTTTTACTATATCGACCTTCTTATTTCTTTGACTAAAACTGTTCATTGCTTTTCTAGGGGACAGCAAAGACTCGACCAACAGCGAGACAACGGGCGGCGGCAATAAGAGGTCTTCAGCGACGCGCATGGTGACACGCCTGAGGAACCCAGACAGCAAATTGAGTCAGCTGAAGAGTCAGCAGGTCGCAGCTGCTGTTCACGAGGCGAACAGGGGCTTTAAGGAGGGCAAAGAGGTCAGACTCAAACATGGGAGCGATATCACTCGACGTATTTTATGTAGAATGTTGTTGAAGTAGGATATTACGGGGGGGGGGGAAATCTTGTTTAGATTCATGAAAGGTGTGAGTTACAGTTGTGTTAGCGTTTTTAAGATTGCGGTTGTTTCTGCAGGTGTTAGTGGTGAACGCCCAGGGCGACATCACCCGGGTCAGCACGCGGAGCAGCAAGGAGGTGGTGATGAAGGGAACCATCAGCCAGTTCTTCAAGCTGGGTCAGGAGGGGAAGTACCGAGTCTATCACAACCAGTACAGCGCCAACGCCTTGGCCCTCAACAAGCACCAGCATAGAGAGGTAAATAGCGTTTTCGTCATTTCAGTTATTGTTTCCCGATCAAAGGGGGGAAAAATTGTCAAATTTCTATTTGTGTCCAATTGATTAGTGCATCTCTAATCTTAATTTTTTTTGTCTTTTTTAAATCTGGACAGGACCATGACAAGAGGCGACATCTCTCCCATAAGTTTTGTATGACGCCAGCAGGAGAGTTCAAGTGGAACGGGTCCATTCATGGCTCTAAGGTTCTGACTATCTCCACGTTAAGACTCACCATCATCCAGCTTGAGAACAACGTTCCGTCTCCTTTCATGCATCCAAACTGGGCCTCACACAGGTAAAAACTGGACAGATAAAATTTTTCTCTTTTTTTTTTTCTTTTTAACAAAACAAGAGGCTTTCTGAGTATCAATCTAGTTTTTTAGTTTCCAAGTAAGGTACAAACAGAGACAAAATCAAAATCTGGGTGTTTATAGCAAATTAATGTTTAATTATAATTTCTCTTTGAATTTAGTTTCATGTAATTGATCTTTGTTTCTTTTCATAGGACCAACTGGATCAAAGCAGTTCAGATGTGCAGTAAGGCCAGAGAGTTTGCACTGGCTCTGGCCATTCTGGAGTGTGCCATCAAACCGGTGGCAATGCTGCCTGTCTGGAAAGACTCACTGGGTCATACCAGGTAAAAAAACTACATATAGAATCGGCCTGGAATGAAGCTAAAAGTACCACAGTTTCAGGGAATTTTACAGCAATACGGGGGTTTTTGTTGTTGTTTTTGTTTGTTTTTTGAGTCTGAATACTCTAGTTAACGATTAATAGATTATTAAATCATTTGACAATTGTTTCAAGAATTGATTAAGCGTGATTAATCGTTTCAACCCTACACAGAATATTGCACCTTTTCACTTTTTATAATGCAATATAAGCTAAACAGTTTGATATCAACTAATTAATCAGTAGGGCTGGTTGCTCAGATAGTTTTCTTTGTAAGTGAGGAAGAATCATAGTGCCTTCTTTCATCCAGCTGACCTGCAGTGCTCAACTGCATTTTTCTGGTCTGCGCTCTTTTTTTTCCTGACATCTTAATTCATGTAAAATGTTTCTGGTTTTTAAATAACTTTGAAGTTTTAGTACGCTTCGTCACCAGTAGGGAACTCGAGTCTAACAGCACTGTATGTGTTTGGGATGTGTGTAAATCTGTCATAAAACTATGACACAAAACTACATAAGGACAGCAATTCAACGTGTAGAAAACAATATTTAATTTTTGCATCTTCTGAGTTTATGAAAAGCCTAATTTAGGAAGACATCCTCGTAACAACAACATTTGTCCTCATCACTAAAGTCTAAAGTCCCAACTATTTCTTAAACTGGCTGACCAAACCTTCAGAAGCATACTTAAGCATTGAGTGCACGTACACAGGGGTATGTTCACTGAGTTTAGTGGGCAAAGTCGACGGTAACCAGATCCGTTCGAAAGGCCCACCCTAGCTGTGAGGCATAATATTTTGACTGCACGTCCCCAACCAGCACCACCCAACTCTGCCTCTAGGCCTCCTGCGACATAGGGCCCTTTCATAGAGGTGATTGTCCAGGCTCTCACAGGCTTAGGACCAGGAAGTGTTTATACATCGCAACTCTGATTAACAAGATAGTAGTGAAAAAAACTGCATTTCATAAAAGGGATTTTAAACAGAAGACCAGGTTCTCATTTTAAATGAAAGTCGAACTCGTAGTCTGAGTTATGGAGGGTTCCAACTCAGCATTGAGTGCACGTCTAGAATAACTACTCATTGTGATCAGTTTTGCTTTATTTTGAACCGGAAAAATCCACTTCCGGCCCTCCATCTGAATTTCGCGCGTCATCCGGGTCACATGACTGAAACCCAGCAGTTCCTTTGTCTACATTTCCTTTCCTTTTTTTTTTCTTGTTTCCTTCCTTTTGATTTTTCTGTCTTTCCTTCTTTTATTCCTTGTATCCCTCATTGCTTCCTTGTTTTCCTTCTTGTCTTGTCATTCTTTCCTTCCCTCGTTGTGTTCTATGCCACATTCTTCCTTGTGCCCTAAATAATTTCTTTCCTCCCTCCCTGCCCTTTCATTTTCTTTTGTCTTCCATTCTGTCCTTCATTTTGTTACTTGACATTCTTGTTCTTCCTTCCTTTTCCTTCTGTGCTGGTTTACTGGTTTACATTGTCTCCTTCCTCCTTTCACTCTCTTTGTCCTATGTCACTTCTGAGGTTTTGTTTCTGCTCAGATTTCATAGAGTAAATGTTATTGTGTTGCATGTTAGAATCAGTATACATGAATGGCGCCTCTGGAACTTAAATTGTTCAAATTAAAGTTCCTGTTTGCACAGTGCAGCGCAATGACAAGTCTTCTAATTTCACTTTCACATACTTGTCTTTTAAGAAATATTCATGCTTTCAATTCATAAGTAAAATGTGAAATACTTTCAGGTTGAACCGCATGACGTCCATGGAGCGTGAAGAGAAAGAGAAGGTGAAGAAGAGAGAAAAGAAGCTGGAGGATGAGGAGACAATGCAACAAGCAACCTGGGTCAAGTACACCTTTCCAATCAAGCACCAGGTAGTTAACGTTGGGTTAATTTAAGGTGTACTGATAGTTGTTTGAGTCCTTAATAATCTCATGCTTCTAAGATTCTGTGCTGTCAACTTACGTTTATTGGTGGTGAAGTCAGACCAGAACTTGTACGATTAAATATTCCACCCATGTCATCTCATCTGTTGTCTGAGTTAAAATATTTTGAAGTCTTAATATGTTGAATGACTTTAGAATGAGTCAATCTGTTAGGAAATAATGTGGTTTATGTGACCATCAAGGGCTCTTTGATATAGAAGGTCAAACATTTCTGAGTCATTTTCCTGAGTAATTTGATCTAAATTTACCACTAATCTCTGAACATTTAAGCTTTTTGTATGAAAACTTGTTTTTCTTGTGTCACAATTTTTCTTACATTTCACTTGATCAGTTCTTGTTCTTCCTGTTCTTCATTTTATTGATGTTTTTCCTCATTTTACATCCCATATGTAGGTGTGGAAGCAGAAGGGAGAGGAGTATCGTGTTACAGGCTACGGAGGTTGGAGTTTTATCAGTAAGACCTACGTACCTCGGTTTTCCCCAAAGCTTCCTGGAAACACCAACGCCAACTACCGCAAAGAACTGGAAGGTCTGAAAAAAGCCTTTCACTTGAGTCTTTAGTTTATGCAATAATGGTTAACACTTATTTTAGCTGAATATGTTGCTCTTTTTCTTTGTGCCAATGTGCAACAAAAGAGAGACATTAAAAAGGTTCTCATCGATATCAACTTTAAAAATTATTTTATGAGACCATTAGACTTTAAAGGATTCTTGCTTTTCTAGTTTGCAAAAGTATTCACACCTCTTAGACTTGTCACTTTTTGTCATATTACAAACTTAATGTGTTACATTGGGATTTTATGTGATTTATTTTTGTTGTTGTTTTTTTTTAATGTTTCTTATTTTTTAGATTTTTTTTAACTTCTGCATCACTTTATTGTAATGCCCAATACCACAGTGACACAATACCAATAATACACCTTAAAGTTTGTGATTGTTTATGACAATATGTGGAAAGGCACAAGAGCGATCAATGCTTCTGCAGGGCAAAGTCTGGTGGTGACACATTTTGAAACGTTTTGTTTCAGTTGATTAACATATAGACAGCTGCTAAGCTGTTAAAGTTCAACCTTTGAAGTGATTCAGTTTTTTTTTAATACGTTCTGGAACATTGTCTCTCATCCTCTGATATTTTTCTATAGATGCTAAACTGGGCAAGAGATGTACCTTGTTGGACTTGAGCCGACGACCCAGTTCAGTTGCATCGAGAGCTCAGGACGGTCCCGCGTCAAGCAGCGAAACCAAGGATCAAGACTCCACGGGTCTCTCCAGAAAACCTGCTGAAGACGCGGAATCTGCAGAAAGGATGGAGCGAGACGAGAACGAAGAACCAGAAGAAAAGAAGCCAACAAGTTCACCTGTAAAGATTGAAGGGGATCCCACAGACTTCACGTCAAAGGAACAAAGTATAGTATAGTTCTCCAAAGCTTCTCACTTTTTAAAACTACCACAATGACGAGTACTAAAACAGCTACTTGCTAGCAGCAGCAACAGTAGCATATGGAATTTGTCATATGCATTATAATATACATATCGCCATCAGTTGAAACACTAGTTAATTAGAACCAGCACAAATTTGCCCCCAAGATTGTTTTAAACATCTCAAACCGACAGAGCAGAGTAGCGCTAAGCTAAAACCAATCATATTGCTTCAAAACAACGCCGACTTCCTCTTAGGGATTAAACATGGCGCCATGACGTGGGCAGATGGGTTGAACTAATTTTAAATAGCACTTCATAATATAAGGTTAATAAAACAGAAGACAATATTGATTGGGAATTGTGTCAAAGCAAGTATGTTGATATATTACTGCATTTATTTGTAGACTGTAATGTGTGGAACCTCAAATCTAAAATTTTTCCATATATACATCAAACATAGATAGTTTTTTTTCAAATTTCCACTTTGGTTTGAGGTTTTATAAATAATCGTTTTTATATTAAACTGAGTTTTGGTCTGGATGAAAGATTTTAACAGATAACCACCTATGTGTGGACTAAGTCTAAAACGTAAGCTGAAGTTTGAATGCATTTGTCTCTTGCAGAATCCAGTATTCAGGAGAACAAAGCTGCCATAAAAGAGGAGCCTTTGGATCCTTCTCGGCGCCCCTTCAACTACGACGTTGTAGACGTTGGCAAGGGCTTCCTCACCCGTGTTGCTTACAAGAAGAAAGTGAAGACCTCCAAGCTGGATAGCCTGCTGGAGCGCAGAGTGAAGCAACACACAATAGAAGAGAAGCAGAGGCAGCAGGTTTCCGCATCCAGATCGCTGGCCCCAGCGCCGGTTTCTCCCTGTTCAGCCCCCATCCCAAGCACTCCAGTCCGGCCTCGGTCGCCACTCAAGCCGCAGAATCTCGCACAGACAACACTTGTAAACAAGGAAGCTGTGAAAGTGGAAGAGAAACTTTCTACGGCACAAACATTAGGGCCAACAAAAGCTGGAGGAAAAGAGGAAGGAGAGAGTGTGACTGAACTCTTGAGAACTTCTCCTTCCTCTGTGTCAAACCGCAGCCCCAAAAACACTTGTAATACAGGTACAGGTGAAGGTTCACCACAAAGTCAAACTGCCTCTATGCTCCAGGAAAACTTGGAGGAAAGGACTACAGGGCACAAAGAAAACAACTCTGAAGGTTCTGGACAAGAAGCTATTAAGCTGTCAGATGAGCAAGAGAAAAAAGTGAGGGGGTCTAAAAGCTCTTTAGGGCAACAGACAGCCTGTGTTGCATCAGATGTAATCAAGGATGAACATTCTTTAAATGCAGAGTCCAACTCTGTGATAACACTTCCATGTGTTGTCGACCAAAATACCAGCGAAAACGGATCTCCTGTTAAAACTTCAGACTCTCTTGATTCTGCTCACTCAGAGGAAAATGGGTTTGGGCCAGAGGAGAACCAAGGAAACTCGCAGGGCTTTGGACACAACGGAACCATAGGGGAAGACACTTCCAAGCTGGTTTCGCCCGTGCCTCAAGTGAACGGAAATGGCGGTTTGGTTGGCGAAAACGTACTGAGTAACTCTGTAACGAGCTTGAACAATGGTGTGCTGACTGACAGACCCCAGCCCAACATGAACAGCATCGGGAAGGCCGAGGAACAAAGGCTGGTGGTCTCGTCGAAAGATGGCGCACAGCAGAAGCCTTTAGTGAACGGAGACTTGACCTCGGTAAACACTACGGCCAATTTAAAAGGAAAAGAGGCACATTCGGATTCAGAGGGAAAGATAACTACACTGGACCAGAATTACAGCCCTCCGCCAAAGATGGCAAAGCTTGAGAACAGTACAGACAAATTTGGAGGCAACGCCGGGAGCAATCTGGAGAACGATAGCACCTCGGCTTTTTATCCCGAGGAGACCAAAAGTGCTCCTGCCGTGAAGATCATTAGAATGGCTCCTTCTCCCATTCCTTCACCAGAGGAGTCCAGTCTGAGCGACGACTTTGCAGAGGAGAACAGCAACAGTGGATCCGCGGATCCATTCAAGACCATTATCACTCAGGTAACCACAACCTCCACCACAACGACAGTAGTCTCCACGGAGACGAGAACGGCAAAAAGCCCAGCCGAGTCCACGGCGTCTGTGGTGACGACGAAGAGCAGCGCAGTTTCGACCCTTTCCAGCATGACCAAAACGACAGTGACCAAAGTTTGCTGCTCTGGACTCGACGATCTGTCTGAGGACAGCCAGAGCAAAACACTGGTGCAGGAGCAGAGAACGATGCACTCGTCCTGCACCCGGGAATCTGGCGCAGGTGGTAAAACTACCATGTCGTCTCTCTTCATGAGCCACGAAGAGAGTTTGACGACGAAAGGACGCGTGCGCCTTCTCAAATTCTCGCGTACGAAGAAACTGCGCTCCGACACAGCTCTTCCTTCCTACCGCAAGTTCATCACCAAGAGCAGCCGGAGGAGTATCTTTGTTCTGCCGCATGACGATTTGAAGGTGCTGGCGAGGCGAGGAGGATTCCGCGAGGTGCCGGTGTTCAGTTACAACGCCAAGCCAGCCCAGGATATCTGGCCGTACCCTTCACCCAGACCTACGTTTGGCATCACTTGGAGGTAGACCTGCTACTCTTTGTTGACAAAGAATCACTTACTGTCCTCTGTCTGAAGAACAAACGCTAGGTCTAGCTTGCTTTTCTGACATCCAAGTCCATTTCACACTCTGAAGGCATTTTTCAGTGAGGTTAAGGGACACATTGCCCACAAAATGCATTTCTTTTGAAAATACATTTAAAACATACTTTTCAGTAGTATATTTTTTCATACAAAACATCTTACTAATAATGTGATGGTTTTACTGTTTTATATGATTAAATAATGCATATAATATCTTTGTAATTACATACAGTACTTTATAGAACGTACTTTATGTGTGTGTTGAAAACACATCACATGTGATGTTACAAGCACAAACTTTATTTCCTTAGGCTTTTTGACATTTTTATTTTCAGCCCCCTTTACTGTGACTCACCTTACATAAAATCCAGCCCAACTCCAAATGTGTTACCTGAACTGAACTAAGATTTGGAAAAATGTACGTTTACAGATGCTCTCCATTCAATCTCACTGAGCTTGTGCTACTTTGCAAACTAGAATGGGCATTGAATTTATTTTCCAAATCTGGTAATCATATCTGTAATTGCATTGACAGGTGGTCCTGTGAAGTGTTGGTTTGGGAATTTGAATGATTTTGCACTCTGCAGTTGTCAAGTTTTTTTTTGTATCATTTTCCTCACACTTTACACGTGTGCACTACTTTGTGTTGGTCAGATGCAAAAAACAAAAAAAAAAGTTTGCGGTTGTAACGTGACAAAATAGGAAAAACTTAATAGTCAGAATAATTTACTGCAGAACATTAAGAAAAATCCTGTCATGTATAAATGGGAAACAGATGGATGTGGAACCACAAGACTAAAAACACAGGTTAACCTCACTTAGAGCACACTTTCAGGTTCAATGCCACAGAGTCCAGGCCTGGTTGTCTGAAAATCTTCACAATGTTTTCTGTTTTGCATTTCAGCTCAACTTGATCTCCAAGCTTGACAGTTATAGTTAGATTGTCTGTGCAGTTGTCCAACATTATGACAGTCCTAGAGTGTAATGAATATGGTGTTGCAGCTTATAGTACTTCTGTATCACAATTGTTGGATTTCCTAGACGCCATAAGAAAGGTGAAGCTGGCTTCACATCGCAGGATGTGACGTAAAAACGTCAGCCAGTTTCAGAAAACATGTTTAACTATATGATGCTGTATTCATTTGTGAAAGCTCAGGTCGTTCTAAACATGGCCAGCTTCACTTGTAACAAATGGCTGAGTTATACTGGAACCGAGCAAACGGTGTGACGTGTATAGTTGACACGAACGTCAGTGTCGTATTCTTCGAAAATGAACAGTCTTAGAGGGATCGTATCAAAGCGCGAAGGCAACGCGCGTGGTGGGGCATTTAAACTACGAGTTGAACCGAGCACATGGCTCCATTTGAAGGCTCATTTTATGGGAATATGGCTCCAACTTACGCATTAATGATAAACGCAATACTCAGGCCCGGCGGCGTGGGCGGGCGTTGGGGGGATTGCCCGCCCACAGTTAGCCGTGTCCCCCCCTCTCCCCCTCTGACTGGAAGCTGTCCTGTTGTTTTCTCCTTAGAATGGAGAAAACATTCTAAATTGATGTTATTCCTACATCAATTTGATACGGTACGAGCTTCTGCATTTCCCATATAGGTGTCTCTATCACTGTTTTTATCAGTTAAAACTGTATAATCAGTTGTTAACACATGGTATTCTGTTTTTCCGAGCCGCTTTAAACGCAACATGAGCGCTGGGACGCTCGCACTGGGTTTACGCCTGGGCGGAGCTGCGCAGGTGCGTGTTATAATCATGGCAACAAACGCGAAGAACTTGGCAAAGTTTTCCCAAACTGACCGACTAAGTCGAGTGAAGCGGTTGGATGCAGGTAATGTCAGCTAAATGATGACTAGCTGATAACAATGCAGCACCTTAAGCTTGTGTAACCTCTTTAATTATAATCGCTTAGCATCACTTGTTAACAAGTAGCCTCTAGGCTACTGTGGCTGTTGTCTACGTTTAGCTACGAAGATTCACTTCCCACAAAATTCACTTGTTAACTCCTCTGTATTCGCTTCAGGTTCAACTCGAACTTTCTAAAGTGCTAATGCAACTCGTGGTAGCCTAGTTAACTTAGCAATGATAATCGTTAACTGAGATATACAAGCTAAAGAAACGACAATTTGAAAAGGCTAAAACTTTACAAAATATACATATAAAGTTTGCATTTAAGATAACACCTTTTTCTGTCATTTTTTTCTCAAAACTCTTCAGGTGTCATAGTTGTAGCTATTACCAGTCCAAATTCACTAAAGGGATGCCCCCTTTGCTGCAATTAAATGCCTCAAATAAATAACCTAGCCAGTTTTACAAAAAATCAAGAAGTGCACAACCAGACATCTATAGGTGTGCAGGTGAGATCCCCAGAGATGCCCCTTTGTACCCAAACCTAGGTTTGGATCCTTAACCTGAGGATCCAAAGAGACTGTAGGTGTAGATCAGAAAACAAAGGGCTCCTCTTTTTGTAAAAAATAACAACCTCATGTAAAGGGATCCCTCTTAAAAGTACCTGCTATACATACAGTTATAGCAGAAAGTGTTGTGTCAGAAAGGTGTATCTGCTGTCAGTTTATCATTTGTCTCTCCTCCCTCCCATCTGCTGTTTGTGGTTTTGGCCCATAGAGCCTACTGCGGCTCCCAGTCTCGTGTCACACAGGCTCCTCTGGTTGTTTTGACCAAGCTTCAGAGTCTCGGAGCAGACATGAATCACCCGGTGGTCAGAGAGGTGTCACCACGTTCACTTTCTGCACCGACCAAACCCTGCAGCCTGTGCATACTTTTCCACTGGCGGTCACACATGGGAATGTGCAGATCTACCAAACCCCATCCGCAGTCAAAGCCCTGAGATAATCATGTTTTTGTTGATGTTCAAGATGTTTTTAATCACAGTGTCCAAGAGCCAAATTCATTGTCAGAACAGAATTCCCGGCCATAATGACCCAAGCAAGATTAATGTATTCTTCTGGACATTATCTGTGGATGAACGGCATCCTATCGTAAATTTTCGGTGACTAAGTGAACTGTGTGAAATAAGTGTTCTTTGATACGGTTTTTAGTGAGCAGCCATCCTAAACTTCAACTAGAGCTTGAAAGTATTTATTAAAAATGAAAGCCACTGCTGTTGGTTTGGCAGAAATATAAACGGCAGCAACATTCCCAGAAGTCTGTTTTTTGGGGGTTTTTTAAGCTGCATCTTCCAGTTACATACGTGATTGTACAGCAGTTTGTTTTCTGTCACTCCAAGGGAGGCATTACGACACCGGCAAATAATGGAAACTTTGTCGTTGGTCAATTGGGCAACTGGAAATGTTTTCTCACATTTGTGGATGACTAACACTTCCTCTGGATCCAGGTACCGGCTGCAGACGGTGAAGTCCCTGGCTGGAGTGAGCCTCATGCTGAGGCTCCTTTGGGCTTGTTTGAGGTGGGACGACATGGCCGTGAAACCGTCTGCCGCCGTAGGCACGACGCGTACAGGTAGACCCTCGAACGTGTTCTCAGTTTTGGGGAAAAAAGGAAACAAACTTGTAAAGAATTGTAAATCCTTACTAATTACCTCTCATATATGTTATAAGTACTTAATTTCTCCAACTTATTCTTTCTTTACCCTCAAAATTAGCAAAGATATTCAGTTCACTGTTGTTGTTTCAATGTTAGAGAGGATTTCCTCCAATTTTTTGTTTGTTGTTTTTGGGGCGTGGGTCTCATCCTCATCATCATACCAAACAAAGCCCTATCCCCACTCATTGCAACAGAGACCTCGGATACTGAAATCACCACCACCGAGATCATAAAGCGGCGTGACGTGGGACCCTACGGCATCCGCTCAGAGTATTGCATCCGCAAAATCATCTGCCCTCTCGGAGTTCCCGAGACGCCAAAAGGTACGTTACGTTTTCTGTTTTAGTCATTTACACGATTCCTACACAATCGTCTTGCAAGATCTTGTTTATTTTGATAAACAAGTTTTTTTTTTTCTAAGATAGCAGGGCAAATATTGTGCAGATGTAAGTGATTTGTGGCTAAAACCAGTGAGTTTCTTTTTTTTTTTTTTTTTTTTTTTCTTTTTTTCTGAAAGAAAATCTCTGGTTGTGAATTAAAATCTGTACTTTGATCATTCAGTGACGGACCCACCAGTCGCTGACTTCACTCTCAAGACGTCTGACCAAAGATGACTTGACACAAATATCAAACTGTCAGAAATGTTGTGAAATGACAGTACATCAACTACTGAGACAAAGTTATAAAATACTGTCTTCTTTTGCCATGCTTCAGGCTCTCTTGCTTCAGTTGAACTCCAATAATAAACAAATTATTGACATACATTTTGCCTTTAGTTAATAACCGAAATCCCACAGGTACACTCATAATTAAGTTTATTATGGGAGGCATTTTACAGTTACTACTACATTTTGAGTCTTTTATTCTTTATATACACTGATCCGTCAGGGTTATTATAAGCCCGGCAGACCACCAGGCTTCGCTTGCACTCCCACCAGGCTAAGCTTTGCTTGTCTTATTATTTTAGGGGTTTTTAAGACGTTATAGTTGATGTTTGGTCATTGTAGATTATGTCTCCCAATAGCACATTACCTAGTGATATTTTCAAATTCCCTCTCAACTTTGAACTTTTTTAACTCAAAAACACGGAAAGTTGCTGGATGACTGCCTTAGTTTCCTTGCCACCAGGCTTTGCTAGTGTTGGGACACATACTTGCTTGTTAAAAATGTCCCAACGAAGAACTGATTTGTCACACTATATGTGTGAGAGAATGTTTAGAAGGACTTTACATCCACATATTTGAAAAAGTTGCTTCCAGTAATCTTTTTTTTTATTTCCTCCCAACCTGTGCACTATTTCAGAAACACACACTCCTCAGAGGAAAGGTCTGCGCTCCAGTGCTTTGCGTCCCAAGAAGCCCGAGCCCACGAAGCAGACCGGCCCAGTGGTGATTGAGACATGGGTGCCTGAGGAGGAGCTGGACCTCTGGGAGATAAGGGCCTTTTCAGAAAGGTCAGGGGGACGGGAAGGGGCAATTATTCTTTCAGCAAAACAAAAATCAGTGCTGTGTGAGCAGAGTAGCCCCCAGGTTGTGTTGCTGTGCTTTTAAATGAGGTTTAAAGGGTTTAATCAAAACTGTTTGTTCTCCTTTTGGAGATGCAGCTGTGAATAAAATGACTTTTTTTCTTTTTAGCTATTCCAGGAAAACAAGTTGTTTTGATTCAAAAATCCTGTGCTTTTGCTGTTATTTGAATAAAAAAATTGAATCACCCACTGCAGTTAAGCCCAGTTCACACTACACGATTTTAGAAAAGTCGGCCGATTCTGAAAACGTGAGAGAACACACTAGCCAATTTAAAATCCTAGGTTTAAAGGGTTCGATCGTAGATTGTGAGGTTTCACTTGAAGACATTCTAATTCCAGATATGAAATCCCTAAAAATTAAAATTCTGCGCTACCACACCTGAATTTCGAGTTAACAAACAAACATGGACAACAACGTTGAAGTGGTTTGCGGATTTATTTTAACCCAAAAAAGACAACCAAAAATCAAAGCTTTGGATTAGGAACTGGAGACATCGTGAGCAAGGATTATATTTGTTGCATCGTAACATGGAGGTGAAGTTTTTTTTTCTTTTTTTCATAAAAAATATTGTTTTTAATGTTTTCGGTTTTGTCGTTTAATTAACCGTTTACGTATAATTTTTTGCTGTGTTTATGTTGTTGTAGAATATATGCATATAACGGAATGACTGAAACATCAGAGCAGCTTAAAGTAGCAGAAAGCATTTCCTGCATATTCGTTATTAGAAAATCAAATGGGAGTTATCTTTTTCCCCCCCAACTGACCGCAAAAGTTTAACGCAGCCTATTTCAGCTCCTTTAATTGAAACTTGTATTATGACTGCAGAATAAAATCAAATGCGCCATTTAAACCAAAGATTGGAATGCGCTTCTCAACCAGATGTACTCTGTGCAATAATTTTATAATTATCTTTCATTAAAAAAAAAAAACAACAACAACGATCCAATAGTATGCTGCTCCGAATAAGGATAAAGTTTTACTTATGAGATCTAATTACCTCTAAAGCAAGATGATTGAACATGTTCAATATCCCCGATTTTAGATCAGAGTGGTCCCAACGTTCCCCCGACTGAACCCGGTCAGTCGTAACGCACCACACACTACAGGATGACCGGTTACGATTGTCGGAAGCGACAATCTTAGAACTCAGAAGGTTCTAAGATTGTCCTAAGGGCAAAATCAAGGCAAAAAATTGTGTAGTGTGAACTGGGCATTAGCCAGGCATAGTAGGTCCACATGTTTTTATATATAAACCAATGATTAAATATTAGAAAAAATCTCTCATTCAATTTTTACTGATTGTTTGTTCTAATGATTACTCAATTAATGGGATTTAAAAAGAAATCTGACCATTCTGCACATTTTCCTTCAACTACTTAAGCACTTATATACAATAATGAAAAAAAAAATTTTAAAAATGCAAATAAATAAATCTTTTAAGAATAAGGGAATAAATATTTTATTTCCTAAAATGCAATAGAAAAACATTCCTATACTAAATTTGAAAGATTTTATTTTGTCTTAAATACAAATATATATACATATATCTATATATATACATAGCATATATGTATGTGTGTATATATATATATATTGTGCAGTTTTGATTTAAATATGACCCTAAATGTGTTTTATTTTTCACCAAATAGTATTTTTTAGGGTCAGAATGGTCTGGTTAGCAATTAATAGACTACAAAATATGTTCCCAATGATTTAAATAATCGATTACTCCAATTAATTGCTTCAGCCCTACTGTTTAATAACAGAATCAGGGGCTCATCATGACCCTTGTATGAGAAGATTGAGTGTAAATGTATCTTTTTAGGTGTTTTGAATCTGAAATAAGTTCTGTGAAGTGCTTATTGTTTGTGAACTCTTGTTTATTTTACAGGGTGGAGAAAGAAAAGGCCCAGGCAGCAGAGCAAGCCAAGGTAAGTTTGGTTTTCCCATCTGGCTTGTTAGTTGATTTTTATCAAAGTTAATTAAAGAAACCCATGAATGGAAGCACGGCTCATGTGGGTGGCATTAAAAGCTAAATATGTTTTTGCATGGGATCCAAACATAATTCTCTGATTTGCGTGCTACGTATTCTTTTCTATACGTTCTTATGTTTCTCCTGCTGAGCGTTTGATCTCCCCTTTGCAGAAACGTCTCGAGCAGAAGTCCGGCTCCGTCACAGCCACGGCGGCCGGGACTCCCGCCGCGCCTGCCGCCACGCCCAAAGTCATCGTCGGCTCCATTTCCGGCCAGGGCACCCCCACTGCCAAGGTGGTGCTGTCCACCAAGATGGGCAGTCCTGTCACATTCCAGCAGAACAAAAACTTCCAGCAATCCTTCGCCACCTGGGTCAAACAGGGTCAAAGCACGCAAGGTAACTTGGAGGAAAAAAACTGTTTATAAATGTCTTGGATCGATTTGAACACTTTGTGTGTTTTTAAATTCTCAGGATCAGGCGGCGAGACCCCTGTCGCCACTTCTGGTGGGCATACTTTACACATCACAGGGACCTCAGCCAGCGGAAAAGTCGTGACCGCGAAGCTGCCGCTCCCCGCAAACAGCAAGATCGTCACAGTCAACGTGCCAACGACGCAGGGAGGTACGGGTTTGTTCCGGACGCACGTGTGTTTGTTTTCTTTGCTTTGCTACGGGCCCACACCTGAGACGTTTAGGACGTGTCGCAGACGGCTCGTTAGATTCACCTGATTACCTGCCAGCTGCTGTAAACAGCTCAGTGTGCCAGAAAAAGTCACAGATCTTTAAAAATGCCAAGCAGGTTTTCATTCTTTTTAAATGATGATGTTGCCACCAACAGCAAAGTCTAGATTTTTTGGTGCAACTTAAACATTTTTTAGTTTGTTGCCACTTTCAGTGAGGGAGTACATAGTAAATTTTTTAAAATGTCTTAACCCCAAATGACTAGTATATTTTGAGACTCAAATTAGACTGGGACTGCTAGAGAGACATGTTCAGTATGAGTCTCACAGTTCTCAAAGTTCTCAAAGCAGCAGCGCTTCATATACAGTGTATTTTTAATTTACCGTTTTTCCATGTTACAGCCACAAACTTAAATAAAATAGAGTAGTGCACAATAAACCACTATTGCTTTTGTAATTAATTATTCTGCCTACAGAATAATTAATAATTAATTACTCGATTAGTCAAATATAAAATTTGGCACGTTTTACAAATTTTCCATTTATCCTCTTAAGCTTTTTATACAATACTATAAATGCATTAAAAGATAGAAATAAACAGTTTTTTTAAGTAAAAAAGGAAACATTTTATTGCTCAAATGCCATAATATAGCATTCCTTTAGTGAATTTGGACCAAGTGAAAATAAAAATATTACTTGAGGATTTTACAAACGACAGTGTTTTTAACTTAAATGCAAAAAATAATAAAATAGATAAATTGCACACACACACATATGTATGTGTGAACCAATAATAAATAACCATAACCAATAACAAAACTACAAATTGTTGCAAACATTTTTTTCGCTCCTCTTTCTAGCAGGGCAATCAGCCCTGGTTTTTATTTTTGTGTATCTGGTCTGTCTGACAGACAGACATACCCACCAAATCACATCTGCGTGTGTTCAGTAAACATTTGTCACCATTCTGTTGCCAACTCACCGACTTTGTCTTTTCATTTAGCAGCGTCTCAGACGATAACATCAGTATCGGCCGAAATCAGAATCGGCGGGTCCGGCTTTTTAAAGATCGGCTAGAAAACTGCAATTAGTGCTCAGTGAATCATTTCGCAATGACTCGGTCAAGACCAAACATTAATTTCCTTCCACTGCACTGTAATATATTTGTTTATCACAAGAAATCCAAATCCAAAAAAAGTTAAGCTTGTAATTTATTATGACAAAATGTGGCTAAATACTTTTGCAAGAAATCAGAAAATGTTTTGATCAGAGAACTTTGGATCAAATTACGGGATGATAAAAGAAAATAATACTTTTGATTATTTTAATTGATTTCCATTCTGCATTTTTTAAACACAACTAACATTTGAAGGAAATTCTGTTAAAGAGTAATGCCGCACACGTGATATTTCTTACTTTTGAAGTCGCTGTGAAAGGGAATGTCAGCTCAGGTGGAGTGTGGCCGTTTAATAGACGTGTGTATTTATCCAGCGTGACTGCTTGGTGCCCTGTTTGTTTTGGAACGGCTTAAGGAAGTAAGGCAGGGAAACAAGTTTACCCTGAGGTCTGCGCCCCAGACAGGTAGCCCTCTATAGTACATCTGTACACCCCTCCCCCTTCACACACACACACACACACACTCGTCTTTCGTGTATTTAAATAAGTGTTTACCTCTCCACTCACTGCGACCCAGACTTCTCGAGCTTTCATTTTTTTACCCTCCTCCCCAACAGAAGCGTGTTTTGATGTGCGACCGGAGCGGCAGCTACCAGCATTACGAGGGAGAGCTTAAACATCTTTATTTGAAGAAGGAAGCCCTTGATGTATGGGCTTACCTCTCGGGTTAGAGTTGCAGAACCACAGAAAGAAGGCAGCAGAGAAGTCACACTCCTGGTTTCCAGTTCCTCCAGCAGTTTCACATGAGCTCATGAAGGCCGAGAGCAAATATGAAACGCGCTCTTTGTTAGATTAAGCTAAGAAGTGGGTTTTTGCCGGTCCATGCATAATTTATAAAGGAGTTCAGGTATGTTGGGGGAAACCCAACTAAGCTTTCAGTGAGCCTTTGATTTATTTTTTTTTCTTTAACCTACTCGACTAATATTTATAAAGATTGTGATCAAAAGTTGGCTCTTAAGCAAAGCGAGACACCCACAAGTAACGGATTGAGTTGTGCTACAGCAGGGCGACTGTGCAACTGCTTACTTGTGGCGTTGGTGATTAAATCATGGGCTTCTGAATATTTTGAAGCTGCTACCTGCATAGAGTATGTGCATATAATTGATGATTTCTACAAAAGTGAACTTCTTTTCGACTCGTTATCGTAGCCCATCGTTGAAAGTCTTCATTCAATATTCACACTTTCTTTACCGCTTTACTGTCTCACACCAGTTTAATACGACGTTTTCAAGGCATTAGGAGCTTTAGTAATCCGTCTTGGCTTTCTATGCAGGTGTGGTTCAGCAGAAAGTGCTGGGGATCATCCCGTCCAGCACAGCAGGCGGCGCCCAAACCTTCACCCCATTCCAGCCCCGCACGACCACCCTCAATATCAAGCCCAGTACTCCCGGCTCCCACCAGCAGGTACAACTCTGGCTATTATCTCTCCCAAATGCAACTCGGATTGTATTTTCTTGTTGTGTTTATTTTCATTTGTATTTTTATCCGGACACCATTTTAAATGTAAATGTTTAACGGACGTTCACGTTGCTGGTTTTCGTCCCCACCATCCATTAAAACACTTTAAAATGTTCTGAATTTGCTGTATTTAAATTATTTATAGAAAATTATTGACATGTCTGAAAGGAAAGATTCTGCCAGTAGATTTGACCACAGAATTACACTCATAGGAAGCTGCTTTTTCATTTGTTTAAATCCTTTTTCCCAAACATCAAAATTCCACTGAAGAAAATTGATCTGGAACAATGTGGAGTTCTCGCATGTTTTGGAACCCTGTGTAGAAAAGTGGGTGCTATTCTAAAAATATTTAATCGAATAAACACCCCTCAGGTTCTCGGTGGTGGTGGTCAGATCCGTCCAGGAATGACAATGATCCGAACCCCAATCCAGCAGTCTGGAGCTGTTGGAAAGACCATTCTCCGCACGCCGCTTGTGCTCCAGCAAGGTAATGTCATTCTGAACCCATTTATTCTTTGAACTCCAAGAATAAACGTGCAGATTTTTGTATTATTAAACTAAACAGTGACCCGCTCTGTGTACGTCACGGCTGCCTCCCGGTTTCTAATTGTGTCTTGTTGTTTTTCCTCCAGGTCAGGGCGGACAGCAGGTAGTGACACAGATCATCCGTGGCCAGCCGGTTTCCACAGCAATATCGGCTGCCGGCGCAGTCACTGCGGTAACAGCTCAGGGAGTGACCGGCCCCAACTCCGCGGGACAGGCAGCTGGCCAAACACCGCCCGGCACCCCGCGGGCGCCAGGCCAGGGCCAGGTTAAACTCACCATGGCCCAGCTCACACAGCTCACACAGGTTGGCATCCTGCATTGCCTGCTGATCTCAAATTAACATTGGAAGTGTGTGAGTGTGAGTGAGGGAGTGAGTGAGCATCTGTTAGTCAGCTAGAAATGGAACCAGTCTTAGTTCTATTCAATCAAGCTGTTAATCTTGATTGAATAGTTTTGTAATGCACAATTGTTTGATCTTTGCTAACCGCAGAAGCAACAAGCTGGGTCTGGTTTGGAGCGACCAGCTGGTGTTGGTGGTTCACAGGCCCTGACTGTGATGGTTCAGGGCCAGGGTCAGACCACCGGCCAGCTGCAGGTCATACCCCAGGGGGTCACGGTCATTCCAGGACCCGGCCAGCAACTCATGCAAGCAGCCCTGCCGAACGGCCAGGTGCAGCGCTTCCTCTTCACCCCTCTACCCTCCGCCGCCACGCCCACATCAAGCACAGGTTTGACTGCAGCACAACTCAAAAAAGTGTAAGATTACTCGGTTTATCCCGCCGTCTTGTATTATCGGGCTCTGTTTCTTTGCTTTCCAGCCACTTCATCTCCCAGCCAGCCCAACTCCACGTCGAGCAAAACCGCAACCCAAGCCGCGCAGCAGGCCGCCGCTCCAATCCAAGTCGGGGCAACACCTCTCTCCACCACCACCGGGGGTGGCGCTTCGTCCACAACCCATCAGGGCCAGTTGCCCCCTCATACCCAGGCCCACATGCCTGTCCAGTCCCCAACTTCACTGCAGGTCAAAGGTCAGGGGGGAACTACACAGCTTCAGCAGACGCCCCAGCTCATCAGTGTGTCCGGACTCCCACAGCAGGTATAAAGGCGTGTGGGGGAGGTTGGAAGGGGGTTGTGTGTGTTTGTCTTTCTTAAACTAAATTTTTTGCTTTTCTTATTATTTTGTAAAATACAGAACAGCTGACATTACATTTTTTTTTTACATCTCATTTTAAAAGTCATCAGTGAGTTTTTCGGGTGAATTTATGTTATGGAGCATCATCAGAAAGTGGAACAAAATGTTTTAAACATTAAAAAAAAAAAACTGAAAAAATGAGTGTACAAAAGGGGTACAACTACCGATTACTGCATTTTTTATCACTCTATCAATTATTCTGACGATTAATCAGATAGAAAAACAATGTAGATTTTTTTTATTCAAGCGTTTTAATGCAATATTAAAAATGCATGAAAAGATTCAAATAAATAGCAAAATTACATGTTTAAATGAGAAAGTAAACATTTTATTGCCTAAAAATAATAAAAGCAACCTTAATGTAGTGAGTGCTTGATTATTTGTAGTAAAGGTGGCTGCTGCAGCAAAAAACATTTGAAAAGCTCAGTCTTACCTGCTTGAGTTACCAGGATACTGAAAGGTGTGAAAGATGGATTATGAAAGCATCAACTCAGTGGCACAGATACACACCTAATATTTTTATTTGTAAATCATTTTTAAAAATCCTTGTCCTTACACCTTCCAATAACCGTACTAATAATTACTAAATAACAAATAACCCCAATAAAATGCCACATTTTGTGGTTGTATTGTGACAAAGGGACAGAATCACCGTTTTAGAGGACGTCACATTGATCATGTGAATATTTATCGTCTTTAGGTTCTGGCACAGCTCCAGGCCCAGCAGGGTGGAGGCTCTCTGCCTCAACACATCAAGCTGCAGCTTCCCATCCAGATACAGCAGAGCGGGACCACCTCAGCCCAGGGAGGGCAGGTACCGGACCCAGCCACGCCACGGCTTTTATTTACCTGTCGGCATGGAAACTAAACTGACTTGAAATGACTCGGTTCAAACACAAACTGATTTCTGCCCAGATTGGAAACGTCGTTACCATCCAGACGGCCTCGGTCCAAGAACAGCTGCAGAGAATCCAGCAGCTCAGAGAGCAGCAGCAGCAGAAGAAGAGGCAGGCGGCAGACGCCAAGAGGGAGCTCGCCCTCAATGCGGCCAACCAGAGCGACATCATACAGAAGCAGGTGCGTTTCTGGAGGGAAACCACTGAAGCCAAGTCTTCACCCAGCCAGCGTCCTTAAAAACAGTCATGACCCACAACTCCTCTGAGATGGTGTTTACTTTACTGTCTCCATTTAGAGAGCCTAGCTGTCCCAAAACTACCAGTAACGCTGAGCACCAAACTGAACGCGTCTCGCGCGTCAATGAATCTGGTTGGACACTTGATGTCGAGCATCAGAACCGCTTTAGACACACGTTGGAAGGAGTCTCTTGCCTTTTTTTTCCTCTCTTCCTGTCTCTTTGAACAGTGGCAGATGAATATTGAGAGAGCTTGAGTTTATTTACTGAAAGCATCGTCTTTGAATTCATCAGATATTTCAGAGGTGTTGTGATTTTGGTAAGTTTCACAAAGTAGCTGCACGCTGACGAGAATTGCTACCAGTTCTATTTGTGTCTCACCCAGGCCCAGTTTGAAGACTTGATAACTACAATCAATGCCTGCATGTCTTGGCAGGACATCAAATACAGGCCACACTGTCACAGAGCAGAGTCTCTGACTGGTTGACGCTCTGCGTCCAGCAACAAAGGTTCAGATTTTTCTAATGTAGCGTCGGCTGCATTAGAAGCGCTTCACGCTTCAAAACGAGATGAGCCACAAGACTTCTTGAAGCACCATAGACACCCGTCCACACAGACTTTGCATGTAAACCAGACGCTCAAATCATGTTCAGTCTGAATACAGCAATCAGGTGTCTGAGCGTCCTTAAAAAGTCTTCAATTCATGTAATTCGTGGGACTTTTCTGTTCTAATCTTGCTACATAGACAGTTAGCTTTTTGCCTCTATTATTGCAAATCTGTCGCCGGTTAGCTGGACAACGTTGGTCTTTGACACTTGCTAACCTCTGTTGCCAACCCATACAATGCTGCAGCCTGGCATTAGAGAGCCAGATGTGTGAGAAGCACAATGCTGCTTGAGAGTCATCGACTGCAGAAACATCAGTCTTGATCTCCTGGCACGGACAGAATTTGGTGTGACACAAACATTGCACTAAACTTTCTTCACAAACTATGACGTTGAAGGTTTAGTAAATTTTAAACATAGTAGCCAAGCACCAGTTCAGTGAAAATTTTCTTCCCCTCAAAATTGTCACTGTGGAGGGAAATTGAGCTAAGAAGAAGGGAGAAAAGGAACATAGAGCATGGAACCAATAGAGAATAGAGAGCTACAGCTATGACAAATAGGGGAAAAAAGGGTAAAGAAACAGCAATTCGTGTCTTCAAATGTTTCATTACAGATCTTAAATTTCATCCATAATGGTCATGATAAAGAACTTAAAGTTGGTGGAACCTGCAGAAACTCTGTACACAATATACAAGTAATGTGTGTATTTTACATTCAGTGCAGCCTGTTTATGTTTAATATTGATACGCCTTTTCAGTGGCGACTCATAGTGCACGATACTATGAGTCGCATGATTCTAGATGGTTTTTGCTGACATCGTTCAACATGTTTTTCAGGTGGTTATGAAACAAAACGCTGTGATCGAGCATCTGAAGCAGAAGAAGACCATGACACCTGCAGAAAGAGAAGAAAATCAGAGGTGTGTGTCCAGTGTTCTTTCTGTGTCTTCATCTGTGAAGATTTTGGAGAGTTTTATTTAGTCAGTAAGGTTTCATTTGGGGAGGTTAGAGGTTTATGTTGCGGCCCGTTGGGAATGTGAGTCAGCTCTCTGGTTGGTAGCAGCAGGCTTTGGATTCAATTCTTATACCAACACAGAAATTATGTGTCAACCATCTGGGGGGAAGAAAAAAAAATCAGTTTTTCCTTGAAATTTCATCCATGTTTGTGTTTTAAGCTATTCTGGTATTGTCATGGGTTTTCTGTGCTAGTTTCTCCTCTGAGACTTCATAACATTAAATTATAATAACAGTATGTTCTTCCAGTGATCCTAAACCAAAGAACAAAATGCAACTTCAGTTATTAATAATAAGAATCACACGCAAAAAAATAAGTCTGGCAGCACAACTCCTGCCCCTTCAGAGATGTACCCCGAAAAACAACTCTGTTGCTTTTTTCTGATTTTCTCCTGCCTAACAATTGAACTCTGACCTATATTTCACCTTGACAACCATACGTTTATGTCTACAGACATTGTGTCAACACTGCCCATTCACACACACCTGAAACATCAAATCCAGACTGCCTCTCAATCTCAAACCCTTCTGTCGAGCTTCTTCTACATGCCTGCCCGCATTTGTTCGCCTCCGCACCGCGCCGTAGCAACGCTGGCCTACCTCTGACCTCGGCAGCCATGTTGGTGTGTTTTTCACACTCGGAACGAGGCACAGACTTTCGATCTCAGTTGTGAACACTAGCAAACACGAGTGAACACACTGAGGGCCATAGATAACATGGATTTACAGTCATGAACACACGTTTTGCTTTTAGTCGCTCACAGTGCGGATTTTATCTGCGGATCTTTATTTCTGTCTTATTCATCACTAATATTTGTTTGAATAATTTAAATAGAAGCATCAATCATCAAGAGCCTTGTAGCCCTGCACATAACCTTCTTTCTTTCTTTGAAATTTATTGAATGTTATATTTTTAAACTTGCGGCTCTTTGAAGATAAGAAAAACTTAAACCGCCTGTTTATTTTTTTTCCTTTTTCTGTTTCACTGTTACCCTTTCGGCAGGCCTACACTCCCCTATTGTTGAAGCTTTTCGAGTCTCATTTAAACATGTTAAAATGTTTAAAAAGAACTTGATGTTAATAAACATTGAAGGGGCAGAATTTGAGCTTTACATCATGTTACAATGTCATTACCTCATCAAAAACATACCTTGAGTGTTGCTTTGATTCTTTCATGCATGTTTGAGAAATCCTCTCATCATGGCAACCATTCAGTTGCACTTGGTTGGACCTGACCCATCTGTTGGAGTTTCTGCCTTACAGAGCAGCCCTCCCCCCCAGACTCAGCTCCTTCAGACTAGCCAACAGCAATTAGCAAATACCTGGTGGAGCGGCGCATCAGCTGAGCTCATTGTTCAAGTTACTTCTGGTAAAAACGTTGTTAAAGGTTAATAAAGGAGACATGTTCTATTAACATGACTTCCTGAAAGCGGAGTTCCAGATTGAGCAGAACATTCTTAAAGAGACGGAGGCCCTTTTTCAAGGCATTACAAACTATATAATTGTTAGAACAACTAAAGGTAACAGTTAATTGATTGTGTTGAAGAATGGCACTATGTGGCTGGAAGACAAATGACACTGACCCTTTAAAAGTAGAAATGGAATAATACGACTAAGTAATTATGTCATTGGAAAATATTGTTGACAATCCTTAAGCACACTAATATAATCTTAAAAAAGACAAATACAAGTAAAATAGATGTTATAATTTTTGGCTAATTAAGCAATCGTCCAGAACTCAGAACCTGCTTAGGGACTCCAAACCTTCAGGGGCCCTCATAAATATTTATTTATCACAGACCATAAATCTAGAATTTTTACATTTATTTGACAATGATAATACTATTAAGTTTAATTTGATGGTTTCAGCAGAGACAAATTGAAAGATCTTTTAAATTTCCATGCTGTTGATTTTTTATGGACATTCTTACTTTTACCATCACATTTGTCATAAGTCGTTTCTCTTTCTCTCTCTCTCTGTTATTTTTCCTCCATCTCTATTCAGGATGATTGTTTGCAACCAGGTGATGAAGTTCATTCTGGACCGGATAGACAAAGATGAAAGACAGGCAGCTAAGAGGAAAAAGAAGGAAGAGGTTGTGGAGGCCAAGAGGAGGATGGCTAATGCTAGCAAGCTTTCCGCGCTCCTTTACCGACACAAGGAGAGCCTCAAGATGGAGATACTGAAAAAACGAGCGCTTCTCGACAAGGAGCTGCAGCTGGAGGCTCAGGTAAGCGTCGACGTGCCGAAGAATTCCAGTGACAAAAAGCGTATCGAATTCAACAGAAATAGGCCTAGTTTTTAAACTCCATATTTCCCTGCGTTGGAATCGTCAGGAGGAGCTAAAGAGGGATCTGCTGCGGATTCGGAGAGAGAAGGAAAAGGAAAAGGCTCAGGCTGCGGCCCAACAGGCGGCCCAGGCTGCCGCAGCAGCCGCCGCCCACAGTCAAAAGCAGCAAGCTGCGGTTCACAAACACGGCGTCTCCTCCCAGCATCACCTCGCCACCGCCGTCGCCTCAGCGCACAAGAGGAAACGGGAGGAAGAGAGGGAGATGGTGTCGGCGGCAAAGTCCAAGAAGAAGAAAATGATCTCGACGACAAGCACAAAGGAGAGCAAGAAGGATACAAAGCTCTACTGCATCTGCAAGACGCCCTACGATGAGACCAAGTATGCAAGGATTCATCAAATATTGGGGCTGGGTGGTTAATCAATTTGATCAATTATTGAGATTTTGGCTTTGGAAAATGAAAATGTGAATTTCATTTCACCAGTTCACACCTTGGTTTTCCATAGTTGAGAGTGATGGCGGCCATCTTGTTTGACAAGCATGTTTTACAGCTGCTGTTCATTTGGGCTTTGAATTCAGGTCAACTCTACAGCGAAATATTAGGGCCAGACTGAGAGATTTTTTACTGCAAGAATAATGTTGTCTTTTAACACAGTTATTATCCAATTATTATCAGTAGCAGGACTTTAAAATAATTGAACACATGACTGAGTCCTTTTCAAAGTAAGAATGACACAAACTGTCATGTCAGATTTTGATTATTCTAGAAGCTTTTTTATCAGTGACTTTTTTCTCTTAATGTTAAGACTTTCTTTTGTTAAAATTGCATCTTTAACTTTTTAATATTTGGATTGTTGTCTTAAACAAAGGTTCTTGCAATGTAGCCCTAACACTTCGTGGTGCAACTCACATAAGGGATGATTGAAATAAAAGCCAATATTTCAAAATATTGTCATTTTTAATTTCCTTTGTAGAAAAAAATTTATTAAAATTGGAAATCAAATCTGGTTTGAAAAGGTTTATTTTTAAGCCATATCACCCAGCCTTATTGTATATTTAGTAACTATACTGAGTTGAAGTGATTAAGTACTGATGTGCAGATTAAGTACATTTAATTTCAACACATTATAAATATCTACACGGCACTAGATCTATTTGCTACAAATTGCAACCTTACTTTACAATTTCAGGCTTGAGATTTAGTTGTAGTTAGCTTTCAAATCTGCAAATATTTTTAGAGGAGTACTCTAAAATAATCATTCTCCCCTCCATCCACAGGTTTTATATCGGCTGCGACCTTTGCACCAACTGGTATCACGGTGACTGTGTGGGCATCACGGAGAAGGAAGCCAAAAAGATGGACGACTACATCTGTGTGGAGTGTAAGCGGGGCCAAGAGAGCAGCACGGAGGAGCTGTACTGCATCTGCCAGACGCCTTACGATGAGTCCCAGTAAGGAGGAGTGTGTGAATACATATGCGCGTGTGTGTGTGTGTCAACCTGAGCCATCTGTTGACACAGGTTTTGGTATTTGAAAATAACCAACCAGAAGAAATATACACGTCTAAGGACCTATTATCCTGATGATTAATCAATCATTCTGGTAATTAGTCAACCATTCTGGTGATTAATCGATCACTGATGATTAATCATTTTAATCGAATTTTTTTTTATTGCCGTTTTCTGACAATTTTTCATTCAACCACTTAGACCTTTTTACACAATTGTAGAAATACGTCAATAGATGTAAATACACAAACAAATACCCTTTTTTGAATAAAACAATAAACAGTTTAGTACTTAAAATGCCATACCAATAACTAATCTTTTGGTGAAGTTGAACCAAGTGAAGCTAAAATTATTTCACTTGGACTTTTGGGTGAAACATATTTCCAGACAACAATACGTTATTTTTATTTTGATATAATTACAGCTTTGAATATGTTTTGGGGTTTTTTTTTTCAGAAAATTACCATTTCTTGAGTCTGTTTACTTGAGTTAACGATTATTCGATAAAAGAATAATTAGTTAATTTAGTCAATTAATCACAATCAATTCAGTTAATCGTTTCAGCCTTTCATGCATGTCATTTAGGAAAGAGTTTAAACATTAACTTCAAATTTACTCTGAAACATTCTCATGAATAATGGACAGTACCTCACAAAAGTATTCACACCTTTTGAACTTTTCCATGTTTTCTTGTGTTACAACCTCAAATTTCAATGTAAATATGTACACACACGTATATAAATTCACATGTGTGCATAATTGTGAAGGAAGACATATCTTAAGCACCAAGTTTTTTTTTTTTTTTACCTTTCCAGGTTCTATATCGGCTGCGACCGATGTCAGAACTGGTACCACGGTCGTTGTGTGGGCATCCTGCAGAGCGAGGCGAACCACATCGACGAGTATGTGTGTCCGCAGTGTCAGTCCACCGAGGACGCCATGACGGTCTTCACCCCGCTTACCGACAAGGACTATGAAGGCCTGCGACGGATACTGCGCTCTTTACAGGTGAACAGAGTTGCTGCCTGGTGTTGGTGATTGGTCTGGATGTCGTCTAGCTGGGTGAAGTAGATTTACTCCACATTACCGATGCACAAAGACATCAGCTGCAGTTCAGCGATCAGCTGACCTACATTGACAGCTCCTCAAAGCCCCGGAGCAGAAAACAAAAGTCCTCGGTGTCCATCTTATCTGAAGGGTCGGCCTCTCCTATTTGGACATGTGCCGAGCCTCTGTGTTTTCGTTTCTTCTTGTCGAACGTCCCGTTTTCCCCTGCCTGCTCTCCTTTCTGTCTCTGTGACGGAGAAACGGGGAGAGAGAGAAAGAGAGGCTGGAGTAGAACATCTGTGTTGACCCACCTGCTTTCAGTGTAATTTTCACGGAGCTGTTTGTTTTTCTTTGGTTTCAGCTTTCTCAAGCATCTTCCCCTCTTCGTTTTTTTTTGTCTCTCGTTCCTCTGCAGGCACATAAAATGGCTTGGCCCTTCCTGGAACCAGTAGATACTAATGACGCCCCTGACTATTACAAGGTCATCAAGGAACCAATGGGTGAGTGTTGAAAACTTGGTCCAGATTAAGATTGTTTTGTGCTACTTAATTGAAATTACTCAAAATGTCTTTTTCGGTTTAAGCCCAAATTGGCATCAGCCAAAATCAGAATAGGCAAGTTAGGTTTTTTTAAAGATCGTTGTCAACTAAAAACTGTAATCTGTGCCCATCAAACTCCTCAGAAAATGTTTTCTTCACTGAAAGCAGAATGCATAATTTTCATTCTGCTTCAAATTTACCAATAAAATGGACAATACAGGTAGTTTGTTGTTGTAGCGAAAAGAAATTTGAGCAATTTAAATATTTCTGCAAAGTACTGCAGTGGCTTTAATCAAGAAATGTGAGGCGACACAATGAAAACCATTTATCATCAATTGTAATGAACCTTTCAATTAAGCTTAACTGAATATGTTTGTAAGAAAAAGTCGTGAAAGCTCGTGTCACTGATTCCCGCTGCAAAATGAATCTTACAAATGAGTCAGTGTTGCTCCAAAAATTTATAAATAAATCCCTCCACTTTTTGAAATAGATAAAATTCTTGCATTTTATGACGTGAATGTGGGAGCAGACGTTCATTACACCCAAGATTCTTGAGCTGCTATCACATTTTTGTCTTCGGCGATCTGGTGTTTTTACTTGCAAATGCATTGTGCATTTGTTGTGCAGAAAGAAAAAAAGCATTTTTCACCAAATTTCGACGACATGTTTATGAGAGCGGGTTGCTTGATGCAGCGGTTTCTGCTGTTTTTATTTCATAATTACTGTAATCTCTGGAAGCAACACCCACGCTCTCTATCTGTAGCTTTCAGAGCGCCGGCCGTCTGAAGGAAGGCCTCCAACTCAGATCAAACCGACCATGTAAACGGTGACTTGCGTCAACGGCAGAGGGTTTTCTTTTCTTTTTTTTTTGGAACTTCCATCCAAACAAACTGTTAATGAGCGTCTCTCCGGGGCCCGCTGCGGCCTCCCCGTGGAAGCACACTCCACTATGTGTCGGCCCGGTCCTGGAAAACTCCTGTCCGTCCGCTGCTTTCAAAACAAATACAACATAAAAGCGATGTTGTAGCCGCTGCGGCTGAAGCTGTTGGTAGTTTATGGAGGGGTTTCAGCATGAAATCAGACGACGGAGGGGGGAAAAAAAGAAATAAAAGGAGGTCTTTGAAACATTGCCAGTGGTCAGCTGAATTGAAGGGGGAGTTGGGAAAAAATTAGATGCGTTTGTTTGGACCCTTCTGTTGCAGATTACCTGAAGCCTCATCTGCTTTCTGTTCTCCTTCCTTATCGCTCTAAAAATTGATAAAACAAGCTTCCCAACACTGACAGCTTCTTTTTGGTGGAAGCTCTGGTAACTTCCTGCGTTTTCAAACATTCCTGCGGTTTGGTTTTGACGTTTTCTGCTGCAGAAAAGACGCTCCCCTCAGGAATGATAAATAGGTAATATGTCAGCGACTCATCTGGACGCCCCAGAGACGCTCGAGGTCAGCTCTGGCAGAGGTTTAGCATTCTTCATCCACCGCCTAATCGGAGGATTTGAATCATTCTCGACCTATTCCGAAACCTGACTATCAATCTGCTGCGTCCGATTACAGCATGACAGCTCTTCCCCGTCGTGAGCGTTCACTGTCTCAACTGTCCCGTCAAACCCTTCCCCTCAGACCTGTCCACCATGGAGGAGAGGTTACACAAGCGGGAGTACGTCAAGCTGACCGAGTTCGTAGCAGACATGACCAAAATCTTCGACAACTGCCGGTACTACAACCCCAGCGACTCGCCGTTTTACCAGTGTGCCGAGGTTCTGGAGAACTTCTTCGTCCAGAAGCTCAAAGGCTTCAAAGCCAGCAGGTGAGAACAGCCGGGCAGCAAGGAGGACTGATGAGGGCACTGGAGTTATGCCAGGTAGTAGGATAACATTTTTTCTGAAACGACTTTAGCTCATACCTCTTCTCCTTGATATCTTCAAACCATCTCTTTTGTTTTTCTTTTCCTTGAAATTTGTTCATTTTGCCCTGGTTTATGACGTCACTGGAGGCGCATGCTCCCTCAGAACATTCCCGTGCGTCAGTTCTCCAAAGCTCACCTCAGTTTTTAGGACTAATTTGTTTGTGCTGCTCAATCCATTTGCTTTGTCTCTTACCCAGAACAGGGTTTCACTCAATTAGCTTTTTTTTAAGGCTTCAGTGAGTTTTTTGTTACTTATTCCTAACAACCTTCAGCTTTTACTATGTAATGGTGCTTCTCTTTTTTTCTTCTGTATGTTGTTTTGTGGTCTTCAAAGCAAGTGAACACTCAGTTTTCACCTTTCAAACCTCACTGTCGGCTTTTTTGACTAAAGAAAAACATATCAGTGGAGATGTCCGATATTTGGTATCGATGCAATACATGGCCAGTATCCACAATACCGATATGATACTTAAGTTTGATATTTTATCAAATATGTGACTTTTACGGGGTTTGTCTTGTTGTTTTTTTGTCCTCTTAATTATTTCCTTAAAACCCAGGATAGAGTTTGGATGTTTTATCAGTATCTGCAAGAGTTTTCCTCTCGCACTGTGCACTAACACATTTGAGGGTCCATTTAACTCCTGTCCACTCAGTGCAGCAGATACTACCATCACTTCATTCCCATCACGTGGGTTTTGTCCCTTTATTTGAGTTTTTTGTTTTCATTCTGCTTCTCTGTGCTCTAAATGCTAATGTACTTCACCCGCATGTATTGACTCCCATCCATTCTTTCTCTCTCTTTTTTGCAGATTGTGATGTCAGACTCCTGGGTGCCGGGGTCACTCTTAAACAAAATATTTTAATTTTCTATCCTGGATGTTGCTGTTTTTACCTGTTTAAAACGGCAGTAAAGCGTTGTTTTGTTTTTTCTTTTAAAAAGAAAAATGCTTATAATAAGCCACACATTAGGTGTGTTTTTTTTTTAATTTCAAAAGTAAATAAAAGCAAAAGTAAGAATTTTCTAAGGTTTAATAGCTGCAGCCATGTTGGTAGCACAGAGCCTCCAAAGGAAAATGTATTTTTTTACACTCTCACAACAGAAGACTTTTTTTTTTTAATTATGTTTAGCTGGAAACGAGGCAAAAAAATGTAAAAGCAACGTTTTCTTTCTTCATAACTTCATGCTTGGAAGAATAAAATTCAGGTCTCGGTTGTGAAATCAGACGTATAATTTATATTTTTAATTTGACAGCAACGGAACATGTTTACCTCATTTAACAACAAGAAAACAAAAGCATGCACCCTTAGTTTCTTTTTATTGGCTGTTCTCATGTATTATTTTATGTTTATAATGTATCTTTTTGTGAAGGACTATTTTTATGTTCTAATGAAAATAATGATAGAAAGTGTAAAAAAATAGGACAGAGAAAAGCCTAGGTTAGCGTTCCTATTCTGAATAAGCTCAGCTTGGTGTTCTCGGCGAGGGGGTTAGAAATCGTAAAAAGTTGTACATAAATCAGTTGGGCAGACATCTTGTCGTACATTTCAGTGACTTTTTACCAACATGGCTGCTTGGTCTGTCAAAATGTCTGACCCACTGGCATCCGATACTTTGCTTTTTTTTTTTTTCTTCTTCCTTTTTTTTGTATCCTACTCTAGTCATATTTTGTCATATATTGTAAAGCTTTTAATAAAAAAAGAAAAAAAAGAGAAGTTTTCCAACCGTTTTCTTCCTCCTGTTTCTTCAGGTCACATAACAACAAGCTACAGTCAGCCTCATCTTAGCTTCTGCTTAAAATCCCAGTGTCAAAAGTCGCATCTCTGATTGGTTAGGACGTGTTGTCAGCGGACCCCTCCCCCGCCTATCGCTGTCGCCCCGGCCCCGCCGTCCACCACCTGACGCCGTTTCATACATCCACACCAGTCATTCCCTCCAGCGAACGAGAAGGAAGATGGGAACGAAGGAGACGAGATGACGGGTGAAATTAAGATAATTGGATGTGGAATGGCCGCCTAACCTCACAGATTCCTTCTGGATGATTCAGCTTTACGTGCTGAAAGTCGGTCGGATGGGTTCACGGTGTCGGATCGCGTTTAACAGAGCCTAGCAAAAGCATTCCTACCCCCCTTTTTGAGTGTTTGGTCACATCTACAGACTTCAGTCTTTTCTGTTGGGATTTCACGCGACAGACCAACATGGGGAAGGAAGCACATCGTCGTGGTGGGAAACCAAACTGTTGAGAGAGTCATTCACACGCCTTGTAGGTTTGGGTTTAAAACGATCGTTTCATTTTGCAAACATGTTTATTTTGGCTGGAAGTAATTTACCAAAGACCTTCAGACGTACAAAAACCTGGTCAGCAATTATAATAAGTGTCTTCATTTTTAATCCCATTAAAATGAGCTCCACTGGTAACTGGGAAGATTATGAAAAGGTGAACAAAAACCAAATTTTAATATTTTTTTCTATGATTTACATTCTCAAATATGCTGGTTGTATTTCCTTTACGTTTTTCTACAAATTTTCAGTTGGCTTTAGGTCTGGACTTTGACTAGGCTATTCTAGCACATGTAGCTGTGTGTTAAGAGTTCTTGTTCTACCTCAAGGTGAACCTTAACACTCTAAAGTTTTCTGCAGTTATTTTTTAACTTGGCTGTCCCTGCTAAAGAAAGCCATAAAGAACACAGCATAATGGTGCCACCACTGTGTGTTATCATAGGGATGGTAGGACCAGGCAATGGATTTTATCAATAAACTAAAAGTTTTTGTTTTTGTAGATTCAATTTTGGGATTTTGTTTGTTTTGTTTTTTTTAATTCCAACTATTCACTCCTTGAGTTTCCAGTGATGTAAGCCCATACAAGAACTACAATCTCTTTGTACAAGTCTGCTTTACAGATTCTATTTACTTGGACTTTGAATTGAAATCATCTAACAAATTGAATGATAGAAAATATCTTTATGAAAACTTTTTTATTTCAGTCATCTGTAAAAGAAAATGTTAACCCACCTTCAGCTTTAAGATATGGGGTCATTTACTCTGTCCAGCGGGGTCGCGCTGTGTAGTTTCGGGAACTGACGGTCTGACGGGACAATCCGCCCAGCTTCATGCTATCTGACTGTGACGTTTGCTGCGCTCATCCTGAGCGCTGCGTCAAGATCACGAGAGGGAACAAATTTGATCAAAATTGAGTTTGGTATTAAAAAGAAAAAATAGATTTAATTTTTAGTCCACATCGCCGAGCCCTAGGTTAGGGTATGTGCAGAGTTATTTTGTTCTTTTTCTCTACACATAGTGTTTCATGAACTATTAGCAGTTGAGAGGTCCAAAGTAAGTTGGGGGTGGGGGGGAAAAAACTAAAACTGGGGCATGACAATTATCAAGTTGGTCTGTTCAAAGAAATCCAGATAAAACGCACTGAGGTTTGGTTTTGTGATGTAGCAAAAGCTGAAAAAGGGAGTATAAATACTGTTGCAAGGCATTGCGTAGTTGTTAAACTACTCAATAATTATGCTCTGTTATTTCTTCAAGTGTTTTAGTTTGACCTTGGCACAGGTGTGCAGGTTTGCATCGAGCATGAACCCGATGCAAATGTTTGACAGCGCAGCCCCCATCAGAGCAGTCTGATAGACGAAGTGTGTGTTTGTCAGAAGGCTGAAATGCTTTCATGTTACTGTCCAGAGGGAAACGACACCGGACAGATCATCCCACCCACCTCATCCGGCCTCTTTTTTCTTTTCTTTTCTTTTTTTTTTTTTTTTTTTTGACCTTTTTTCCATATGCGATGCTCTGAAATGCAAGTCAAAAACTGTCTGTGTTTGAAAGGAGGAGGCCATTTAGAGAAAATGAATTGTGTGAAAGGCTGAGAGTACTGTAGCTCCCTCCATTATGAGTCTCAACAAATCTGTGTGTCTGAAGCTGACAGGTTGGCTCGCATGCATCTCTCAACTCGCTCTCTTTCTCTGTGTGTGTGTGTCTGGTTATGTGTGTGTGTGTCTGGTTAAAGTAATTGGATAATGAACTTCCCCACTCAGCATCAGCTCAGTTATGTCGCGGTCTGCGGCAGCGTGACTGGGAGTCAAACCTCAAACAACGACCGACTGGAGTCTTTGTATGAAAATTTTATAGCTGCGTTTTTTCAAGCATATCTGGGAACTTTTTTTTTTGTGTGTGTGTGTGAGATTTGTCCGTTTTCTGTTTTTTGTGTGTGTTTTGTCCGTTTTCTGGGGGGTTTTTTAAAGAGAAGAAAGTTGTGCAGCGGTGATGTCTTTCGATTTAGATGTGTCAAAGAACGATGGAAACTATTTTTCTCTCTGTTTTGTTTTTCTTCAGCATTTTTTATGTGTGGAAGCAGAGTTGAGAGATGATGTAGCTTCTGTCTCCTTTTTTGTCTTTCAACCGAATGTTTGTTACTTTGTTATAAGATGATGATGTGCTTTATTTTCTGTTTGTAATCGCTATTGTATATTATTGCTGTCTAAATATGTAGAGAGAGAAGATTTTTAGAGCAGTACAACTTTTATTTTTGACTATTTGAACCAGCAACCAAGTCCTCCTGTAAATTTAAACTACTTTTTTTCCCTCTTTTATTTGTAGTGGACTCTGTTCTTAAGGTGAAATTGCCCTTTATATAAGAAGTGCTGCACATTGTGAGCATATCGGTTCTGATCCAGTCGAGTGGCACGATGACTTGTACAGATTTTTCTTTCTCTTCTTTTTTGTAAAACAAAAAGTCGGCATAACTTCTATATTGACGTTGCATTTCTTGTTTTATTTATTCAGACTGACGGAAAAGTTATCCATTTTTTTAAAAACAACAAAAAAAAAGGAGTATCTTGAGGAAACGTAACTGCAGATAAAAAGCACTCTATGTTTTTAACAGACTGGCCACTCTGAAAAAACTCTCTTTTGTACTTGATAGGACATTTCATCCTGAATAATAATAAAAGTCAACTTTTTTTGAGATGTTTCTGTCTTTGCGTGGGTGAGAGTACGTGAAACATGCTTTGATCTTTCTTTGCAGATAGAAAAAAAAATTAAAATGAATCTCAGGTTGATTGCTCACAGACCCAGATACCATTTATTGCTGGTCTTCAAGGTAGTTATTACTGAAGGCTATCGTAAAACCAAGACATTGATGATTTCTGGTGGGTTGTTTATATATATATATATATTACTATAATGAAATTTTATAGCAGAAATAAATGCCCTTATTGAGTAAAAGTCAATTCTAACAACTAGCCAGAAACAGTGATGAGGCCCGAAATCTGGGTGTAGTGATGGACTCAGACCTGAACATTCAGAGGCACATAAAGGTCATTACAAAGTTGGGCTTTTATCACCTGAAGAGCCAAACATATAGAAGCAGGTTTTTGTGCCACAGACATCTGGAGGAAACTTCCAGAAAACTGCAAAACAGCCAAAACAACGACTTCCTTTAAATCAAGGCTAAGTATCTGTACAGAGCTTCCTTTGAATGGTAACTGGCACATAAATCCGTATAATTGATATGTATTCTGGCTGATGGTTTTGATGATGGCATTTGACAAAATGTAGTGTTTGCTTGTTTCATAATTGGTAACTATCAAATTGCTACAATGTTCAGCGCTTTGAACTGCCTTGCTGATGAAATGTGCAGTACAAGTTTGACTTGACAAAAAAAAAAATTAAATCTGAAAATTGATCAGGGTTTTGGAATAGTTTTTGAGCTTATGTATTGACAACAAACACCTTATTAAGACATTGTGATTTATAAACAGGAATTTATAGAAGAAAAAGGGAAAAATCTGCAGTACAACAAACATTCAATGCTAATGATTCCAAGTCAATCCTGTGAAATCTAGCTCAGGTTTTAATCCAAGTCATTCTTCTGTATAGGAAGTCTCAGCAGCTTGCCCCGGCTGAAGGATGTTACCCCCACAGGACCATGCAACCACTGCCATGTATCGGAGTGTGTGTTCAGGGAGACGTGAGCTGCCAGTTTCCCGATAAGACTCCACTAATTTACTAATCTGACAGAGGAAGTTGGGAGTTTCATAGTAAGACACGTCAAATTAAAGATCCTTTCAGACTTTTATTTGTAAAAAGTTTGCAAAAACCATGTTATCACATTCCTGCAACTTCACAACTCTATACTGGTATGTTACATAAAGTCCTGAACAACAAAAAGCTCAATAAAGTCGTATATAAAGTTGCAACATGACAAAACAGGGAAAAGATTCAAGCGGTGTGAACACTTTTGTCAGCCGTTGCACCAGAAGGTCAGAGGCCTGTGTGTGTGTGTGTGTGTGTGGGTCTGACTCAACCTCTTCTTAACTCATCCGTGGTGCCAAAGGGAGATGGGCCCCCGGGTACGATGAGGTCACGACCTGTTTACAACCATTCCTGTGATCAAGTTATCCTGAATGACACATCCAGCCATCACCGACTCCCAGAGCTCCCTCTCCTCTCCCTGACCTCCACCTCGATATCTCCTCCACTCAAACCACTAAATGGATCCAGAGGCTCTCATGGACGCCGGGAGCGCCACAGATGACCACAAGCCCACAGTTTTTTTTTTTGCTGCGCAGTCTTCACACAGGAAGCATCTACCAGATATTCCCACCTACCCCCACACCCCACACCCACACACACACACACGCACACACACACACACACACACACACACGCACCCCCCACACACACACCCCTCCTTCACATCATGTTCTGTGATGAGGAATGTCCTCCCGCTGCGATAGTGACCATAGTGTGGATCAGGCTCCCGTTTCCTGCCCGCCTCATGCGCCTGTTCCCTCCAGCGCTGATCGCTGATAGAGGCTGCGTGGAGCCTGGGAACTGACCAGAGATGACGGACATGCGGGGGGCGAGGAGGAAGAAGAGGAGGAGGAGGTGGAGAGGTTCTCTCCAGCAGAATTTGGCTGTTAATTTCCGCGCCCTGTTTTGAGGGACGGCACTTCTTGTAAGTAGCATGTAATGATGCGAATAATAATAATGTGTTTAAAAATGTCTCCCCTATCCCCCCAGTATAGTGGCCTTTCTTTTGACGGCAGTGAAACAGGAAGCTGTGAGAGAGGGCCGGGACTCGAACCCGTGACGGCCAAGGCCTCTGTATGACACTCGCGCGCTCTCCTCCGTCCCCAGGATTAATGACGCGTTTCTCACCTAGGAAGCGCGTGGTTTTCTTCAAGACAGGGCGAGAGTTTATTTAAGTGACTTCCCCCGCTACAAGCTCATTCGACAAAACTCGACGCTGCCTCGGTCTCTCTCGGTTTTATATTTTTCCGTCGCTCTCTCCGCGGCCTCTCGGGCGCGTGGAGGATCACATTCCCACGATCCGGGTTCGCGGCCCGGTCCCAGCCGTGAAGCCCACGACTCCTCCTCGTCGCCGTGTTTGGACCTCCACCTTTCTGGGCCCACTTATCACCGCGGACACGTAATTAAAAGTGAAAGGAAGCGGAGCCTCTCTCAGAGCCAGCTGAATCCTCCTCTCCACTGTCCGCCATGATTTGTCGCCTCTGGTTTGTCTGGACCTCAGATTCCTCCAGTCCAAAGATCTGCTGACCCGTTTTGTTGTTGTTTTAAGTCGCAGTACAGTTCTTTGAAGTCAAGGCAACTGAAAAGAGTAATAACGACAGAAAATATGATATTCTGGAAAAATTTGCAACAATTCTTAAACCTTGCTATCTGGATTTACTGTCCAGGAAGTGGAAGCATCGCTCAACCGTCCCAGCATCCTACGCTGTGTCGATTATTGTGGAAAACAGACAAGAGTCTTTTCCCAATGCCAAATTTCGAAGCGGATTCAACAAATGGGCCATTGGTGCCATGCTTTGGAGCGGCTTCGCGTCTCTTCGGGAAAGTGATACCCATTCAGCTCTGGTACTTCGTGTACCAGCCATGAACGCGTGAAGAGTTGGATTCGAGTTGAGCTCAGGAGACAGCGTGAGAAAGGAGCACTTGAGTCCCAAGCCGGCACGAGGAGGAGTCCAGTTAGCCAAAATCGCCTGTATCCATTGGCGCAAAAGAAGTGGGTATGTGCTAAAATTCGACGCCCAGGGGGGCGCCAGGCTAGATCGGGCGCCAAAAACAATGGCAGAATAATTATTTCTAGTCAGTATTATCTGTGTTTGACAGCTGTTTGTGCATTGAAAACCCCCGAGAAAGTAGTTTGCTGCATCCCGCTTGCATCAAAGAGGGCCCAGCTCAGTTCAGTTCTTTGGGAACTTCATAGATAAAGGCGGTATGACGATACATGGTAGCGGTCCATATGAGAGCACCTCCACTTCCGCTCCACATCCTCCCCTCTTGCACAGTGCCACAGGGTTGGGTAAGATCGGCTGCGAAGTCTCTTCCCCCGCAGCAGGGGGCGATATTCTCGTCGGCGGTTCACCTACACCTGGAGCGGACAGCCTCCAGAGCTTTCTGGTGTCTCCGTTTGTTGAACCTTTTGACGTAGTTGCTGCTGCGCAGGAGGCCATCCCCGGGCTTTAGTTTGCCAGCCAGCAGGGTCAGGAGGTCACTGGGAAGGTGGCGCCTCCGGTGGTAGATCTGACCCATTACAATGTATCTGGCCCCTGAGGGACAAAGCAGGTGGCAGGTTGAGTTGATCTACATCCCATGTTTTCAATGAGATAGAAACAAAATTCAAAACCACAAAAAAAACCCAAACAAACCAAAAACCGATTCTATATGTTCTGCATCGAATACAAATGTAAGACATTTTTTTTCCGCTCAGTTCAAAAGCAAGTTTCTTAAACTCACCAAGCTTGATATCAGGACAGGGCTTGCTGCACTTGAAGGTGTCCAGGACCAGGAGGCGAACCTTGAAGAAGAAGCTGTCTGGGGTCACGTAGAGACGACTCATCTTGTAGAAGCCGTCAGCGCTCACCATCAGCGTGATCAGTCTGACTCCTTTCCTCAAAACATCGATGTCATGGACAATCCCATTGACAGCTGTCCAGAAGACGAGAGACGTTTGGTTAGACAATTTGAAAACGCTGTTATGGTGTCCAGGAGAATGGAAGACGCGTTGAGTCATGTTGGAAAAGCAGTCGAGCGCCAGGAGGAAACCTCACACTTTTAACGTCTGTGAAGCTGGTTAGTTTTAGATTACTGTACTGACACGAGTCAAGGCGAAACAAACTGGATCTGGCAAAAGAAAAAAAAAACTTTTTATTTTCTAATTTAGTTTACTTCGGCACATTGGATGTAGGATTTAAGCTGTTTTCTGTCAAGAAAATAATCTTTAGTTAGCCCCCTTTGTCTTTTCATTTGAGACCATGAGAAGCAGTCTGAAATCCTATTTTATTCATTGTAAAAAAAAAATATCCAAAGCAAGAAGGGGCTGTGGGAAAATGGTCTTTGGAATGTTGAGTTTAATTTTACAACTCACACCTCACTAAATAATTTTAAGAGAATCTGCCTGTCAGAATGAAGTGCAATGATTGACCAACCAAAACTTATCCTAGAGAGTGTTTGAGACTTTTCCATAAGGTAAAAAAAAAAAGAACAAGAAAAGGATAACAGGCTGCACTTGTTTTATTTAGGATCAGAGTTTATAAATCAAGAATAGGAAAAAAGATTCAGATTGAGCAAATATGGCTTCCATTGAAGAGTTCCAACCTAATGACTTGTTCACTCCGAAATGTATGATTGCTGCTAAGACTTTTGGGGGAACCAAGCAGTTTATTTCCCCAATTACTAAATTAAGCCATCACTTGGAAAACTCAATTGTGTGTATTTACTAAAACGCAAAATCAGAAGAAACCTGTAAGAGGGTGAAAGGTTCTTTGCGTATCGAGATGGGTTGAACATAGTTCAAGCAATGCAAACAAACAAACGACAAGAAAATAACAACAAAATGCATTCTAAATATGGTTACATTTCTTTTATGTGTCTTTGTATTACATACCAAACTCACTGTAGCAGTAATATTCCCTCTCATCCTTCTCCTTCCTGCACTCGCTCATGCAGAAGGCATCGTATGTGTAGTCAGACTCTGGAGAAGAGAAAGGCAGCTTGAGAGGAAAGTTTGAGAGGAAGAGTCTGTGCTGCTTTCTCAAGGTAGCAGGGAAGACTCATGACTGCTGTGACTGTTAATGCATCTTCACTCACTAACACTTTAGACCTTTTAAGAGAGGAAGTCTTTGACTTTGAACTTCCAAATCTTACTCTTTTTGTCATTTTAAAATGTTGCCTCTAAAACGTCTCATTTGTCTGTTTTTTTCTTATGTTTAGGGCAGAAAACTTCTAATGTGGATTGGAATATTCCACTATAAATGCTCTAAAAGTGGAATTGTTTTGATTAAGATATTCGCATGTGGGAGATTTAGTTCAGGGACTCTGTTAGAAGATATGTGGAGCACCCTGTCACAGCACAGGGAAACAGCCCCGGCCTCTCCTACCTCGCCTCAGGACGTCAAACTGGTAGAGCAGGCTGGAGGGCCGCCGGGTAAAAAACACCGGCGGGCGGCTGTTGTTCCAGGCCGCGGAGCTGATTCCAGACTGGTAGAGGCCGGACCTCCCGGGCCGGTTCTCCTCTGGGTCCTGGCGTCGGTTGGAGGAGTCTCTGCGAGGTGAAGAAGCTGTTTGATGCGGCTGGACGGGTGTTTGTGTCTGAGCTGGGGTCTTGGGTTTGGAGTTGGGCTGTCCTTCCGGCTCGCTCTGCTGAGGAGGGCTGATGTGGGTCTGGGCGTCCTGACTGATTTTCTGTGTTGTGCGATTGGAGCCGGCACTTGTGGCTCCTGTCAGCTGGGTTTTGGGAAACAAACCGGCAACTTCCCCCCTGTTTTTCTCACTGTTGTGCTCGGTTAAGCGGTCACTCTTGTGCCCCTTTTTGCTCTTATTGTTGGGGCCGTGGTGACGGAGGACTGGGGCCAGGTTGCTGTGCTTTGGCCACACAGCGGATGGCATTGGGTGGAAGTTTATCTTAGACTCACTGGACTTGCTGCTTTTCTCCAAGAGCTCATTGATGGGCAGGGTGGGCTCTTTGACCACCAGCCTGGTTTGGTTGCTTGGTGCAGGATCCTGTGGACCCTTGTCTATAAGGGTGTACAGCTCTGGAAAAGAAGCAAACAGCACTTCAGATACAAAATGACACAATTCAAACTGATACTATGACTGATACTATGACCGGAAAACAGTTTTCCCTTTGCTAAAAGAGTGACCCTACTCTATTAACACTGTGGATCTTTTATTTTCTCGGCCTTTCTTACTGTTTCCTAAATGTCACATAAGGTGTCCCTCTGGGATTTGTATTAGGAACAACACTTCTTGCAATGTCCAATAATAATCTGTGTCAGAATATTATTGATGCCTTTCTCCATCTATCATTCGACATGCTGATGACACAGTTGTTTGTTGACTTGCAAACAGCATTGGTGTTTGATCTTCTGCAACAAGACTTATCATTTGTTTCACCTCAAAATAGTTCGAAACATAAAAAACACTGAAGAAAAAGCAAATATCCAAAACATCCTGTGACCATATTGAGTCATCTGTCTGAAGAATGAGACAGGAGTTTGGTGGACTCTATGGCTGTTTTCGTTAACGTAGCAATGCTGACTCAATGCTCCCATTTCAATCTACTCTGACGGCTCTGAGTATGACATGGAAGCAGTGTGTTAGTAATGGGTGGATAACACCTGGAAATGGCTAGCTTTCTTCAGTTGCCAACTGCCCCCTGGCAGAAGAAAGTACATTGGAGACAATTCTCCTGTATTTCAGAGTTCACTGCGGACATTTTACATCTTGATGGCAAGGCTAATTTAGTGGCAGACTGTTTGTCTCGGACCACGGTGAGGGTTGTTCATCTGGGACTGGACTATGCTCTTATGACTGTCATTCACAGAACAGATCAGTGTGTTAGCCCCGGGGTCAGTTGACCCCGGGGCTAACTCTGGCAAATCTGGTTTCCGGTGAAGGCAGCGTGACACTGCTGTATGATACCTCCACAAGCCAACCCAGACCAACCCCATTCCATTGGTCTGGGGTTGTCAGGTACTCTCAGTGTAGCTATTGCATAAGTCACTCCTTAGATAATTTACTCCTTGTAAATATTGAGTCATTATGTGTTTTACAATAGAAGGTTACTGTCTCCAGAAAGTAAAAGTTGAAGGAGTTAACCTCAGTTAAGAACTGTGAACTTGCTGTTGGAGCAAAAGCGATAAGAGGAGCCCAGAATGCTTCCTTTCACGTCCAATTAGTTTGATTTTATTTAAAATAAAATCAAATTAATTGGAGCCACCTATGTGCTTCACACTGACCATGGTGTCACTATTTAAATGAATGCTGCTAACTTAAAAAAATGTGGACTATTCAAGCTTTTTCTAGATGTTGGGCACTGAGATTCCTCACAGGATCTCACCCGCCATGACAATATGTGCATTCACTTTAACTTTCCACATGCATGCTGCTGTAACAGTTTATTTCATTTATAAATCAATGCCCAATTCACTATCACTGGTGGTAAACTTTCCATACCACTTAAATAGAGCATCCAGAGCGTCCACTCACAGGCTTTTATCATAAAGTGTTTAGTGTTCATTTAGTAGAACAGATATACGGGTCTACTTCGAACAAACAACAACTAAATCAGAAGCAGGGCAGCGTAACTGACCGTGATGATTTCAAACAAATTTTAAAAGCACAGGAAAAAGTTATTTGTTATTTATTAGCAATGCTATTCATACTATGGTCCACTTGTTTTGTTTTGTATTTTCATTTAATTAGTTGTATGCACCAGATTAACTATTGGATCTGTTTTATCAAAATACCTGGCATGCCAAGGCAGGTTTGAAAATGAGACACCATGTGCCAATAGGATTTATCTGTATAAACAATGGTAAAATAAGAACAATAACAACAAAATGTAAACGAAAACTTCATATTTCCCCGGATCACTGTTTGTAGTTTCTTTTAAAACAATTTTTGAAATAATTGTTTGAAGTCAGGCTTTTTCTGTATTAAATATCTTATATGCACAAAAATAAACTTACTGATATGGCATTCAGTATTTCAATAAACCTTACCCAATTACAGACACAAATAATGCTATGCAGTGACTGTTACCTGCAACTATAAAATTGACGCCACGAGTCAGAAGAAAAAACAAACAAACAAAGAAAAACCAACTCACCGTTGACAACTTGCTCCTCTGTGTCACAGAGAGGAAACGCCAGAAACAAAAGAACCAGAGTAATTCCTGTCATCTTGGATGGACCAGTTTTGGACTCACTGCACTGTTTGTTCTCAAGTTGGGATTCCTGGGATTTTTATAGGAGCGCTCAGGGAGCGGATGGGATGAGGTAGAAAGGGAGGGTGTGGGCCGGCCCAAAACAGGGACACAAACACTTTCACACGACACTCCTACCATTTGTGCACAATTCAAAATACGCCAACAGAGCCCACTGTGTGCAAGAAATGTGCACACATTTATTTTATTGAAAATAAGCTCTCTTTATTATCTGGTGTCAGATTAAATACTCCATTCCTGACTTCTTCGTTTTTATATGCATAAAACTTTTAACTTTTACATTCATTGGTAGACCATTTTGCATAAAATTCACAATTTAACCAGTTTGTAGATGACTACTAAAAACGATGAGTATTCACTGCCCTCTAGTGTTAAAGAAGAGAATATCAGCTCAATGTTGTAGCAATTTATCATTGCCTCAAAACCCATGGAATAATAAAAATATAATAAAATATTCTGGTTCTGCCAATTCTTTGCTCTAAGGGCAGATCTGTTTATGTTCATTAAGTAAATAGCAAAAATGAAAATACATTTTGGGTTACTTGTTCTAAATTATAGGCAATTTTGATTCTATAAAATGTTGGCATTCAAGTGAGTTTCAATAAGAAACATGTTTGGTCCGACACACACAGTTCTGTGATTCATGATTATGGTTTTGCATTTTTATAAAAAATACTTCATAAGATGAAATAAAAATAATTTAGCTTATCAGGACGTGCTGTTTGTTCCCCACTCTTTGTCTTTATTGTCCATAACAGGGTTGATATTTCTATCTACTAAATCATCGTTGGTCTATTTCTTAATAAACACGGCATTGCATACTTTAACAACTAAAAGGAAACTAAATGCGACCCAGATGGGACTCGAACCCACAATCCCCAGCTCCGGAGGCTGATGCCTTATCCATTAGGCCACTGGGTCATTACGTGGAAAACTGGAGAAGCGTGATTTTGTGCCTGTGCCATGACAGTTTCGGATGTATTTTGTATGCTTTATGTCATTTTTCGTTTGTACATTTTGCCCGGTTGCAGTCATCTTTGACAGTACAGAGGCGTGGCCCTTAAAATGTTACTACGCAGCAAACTATTGCCTTTATAAACGCCTGTTAATGCACCATTCCGCTGAAGTTAGCATCTGGAACGAGGGTTCTGATTTGGGTATTGTAAAGCACTTAACGAAGGGCAGTTTTTGCATAATGAAATCTGTGTGCAATAAGTGCCCAAGCTTAGACTAAACCTGTCAATGTTTGACGTGTACATGCTGTTTTTTTTTTTTTTTTTTTTTTTTTTTTTTTACATGGATCTCTTCAATAAATCTAATTGTACATTTTTAGAGTTTTCAAAAATTGCATAAAGATTTGACAAATCACAAGCTATATTTCACAGACTTTATCATCAGTATAAAATAATTTTGTTCGAGTTTTGACCATTGTCAAACGTTGTTAAACAGGGCCTCTTCTAAAGCAGTGTAAAGCCCAAATAAATCTTCCTTATTTGAAATAGTCTCAAATTAAATAAGGGTCATGTTGAATTAGAATCTGCTTTATATGTGAGATGCGTTTAGTAAAACATCATAAGTAAAGCAAATTTATTAAATACTTTAATTGTCATAGTTAAAAAAAAAAACAAAACAAAACAAAAAACCTACGAATCGGATACTAACTTCAGTCTCCCTCAAACCCCGGGTAACAGGGCGGAGCGTTTTGCAAATCTGACCAATCGCATTTTAGAACACCAGCGGCATATATATCTGACGTCATTTCAGAAGTGTTTTTTTTTTCTCCTTCAAGGTAAGCGCTTTGCACATGCCGAGTTACTGAGCGAATTTCCAGAACTGTATTTATCTATTTTCTGTTACTTTGCTTAGTATTTGAGTTTACAGTTTTTCTTCGAGTCGTTTCCGAGTACAGTGGAAACACATGGAGTCAAAAACGTTTACTTGACTTAGAGAGACACGCGCTGTTAACTAGCTTACCGTTTGCTAGCGAGCTAACCTGGAATAATCGGGTGATTAAAAAAAAGGAAAAAAAAAACGGTTAGTGCGACCGTTTCAGTTAGTCGTTAGTTTAGCGGCACATTAGCAGAGTCGGCTTGTGTTGCTCAACGGCCAGCGGCAATGTCAGCTGACACGGACAACGGGGCCCGGCTCTTCCAGTTCAAAAACAAAGGGAAAGACGTGAACGTAAGTTCTGCCTATAACAACGTTACTACAAAGTTAACAGCTGGACTTCTTGCTCTCATGTTGGCGATTAACTTTTTTTTTTTTCAGGAATTGAGGCGCAGGAGGTCCGAATTCAACGTTGAGCTCCGGAAAGCGAAGAGAGACGTTCAGATATTGAAGCGGAGAAACGCGCAGAGCTGCGCGGAGGATCCGACCTCCCCGCCGCACCTGAAGGCCCTCAGCGGCCAGGTGAGTCACCCTGCCGCCCAGGTCACCGGCCTCCCGCGCTCCGCGCCTGCTGGGACGCCTACCTCCACGCAAAACACGTGGAGGTAGTTACGAGTGCAGTAAAGTCAGCACTCGTTTAAAAATAATTGTCATTTTAAATTCATTGACATTGTTCTTGCATTGCTGATATACCAACAACAAAAAAAAAATGACCACATACTTTATTTTTTGCTTGTTTTTCTTGAATTCAGAATTTATTCAGTATGTAGAGAGGTAACTAAATATATTTTCTTTTGCTTTTTTGTAAAAAAAAGGTTGTCAAACGAAGATGGAAACATTTGTTTGTTTCTGATGTCTTTATGTGCTTTCTAAGTAAAAAGCTTGGTCTTTAAAGTTTCGGCTACCTCATAAAGTGTAAGGTAAAAAAATAACGCAAAAAAAAAAAGAAACATACATTTATTACCCAGTTGATTTAAATTCACACAGATTGGCAATCTCCAGTATCTAGCAAGTGAAGACCGAAAAATATCTTTAAAAAAAAAAAAAAAATTGGTTGAGAAATCTTTAAAAAAAATCTTCTGAAACGTACGTCCATGCAGATGGTTCTTCCACTAAATGTTCTGGTCCCGACATGAAGTAAATTCATCACATTTGTTGTGACATTAAGTGTTGGGACTTTAGAGAGGATCAAAATGTGGCACCTGTGGTAATGTTTGCACCTTTCATACCTTTCAGAAAGCAAAGTCAGACGTGACAGGACACATTCTGATGCTGCTCGATTCCTCTGAATAGAATCACGTTGGCTCAAAGTTGTCCAAAAAGTGATGCATGTGCTCACTTGATCGTTTTTCTTTTTATGTGCAACATAGCCAATTGAAACAAAAACATTCAGTCCTGCGTTCACTGCTCTGTAACAATCTACATACCAACATCTCTGAACTCAGATAGAGCAGCAAATCCAAACAAGGATGTGACTTTTCTGCACAACTTGACCAAAGTTAATTTTTAATCTTGGTGCAAAACTTCAGTATCAACATGCAAATGCCAGCTTCTTGATCGCTGTTGTTCATTACGCAGCGCAGCTTCCAAAGCTGTTTTTAAGAGAAGTCCAGTGCTGTTCCTCTCAAATCTGGCTACAGGGGAATGTTGTTTTTAACTTCTCTTCCGTGAACACTAATCCCTTTTGGTTTCTCTTTTCAAAGCCGACTCAGGATTGGTCATTGGAGGACATAGTCGGAGGACTAAGCAGTGTGAATACAGAGCACCAACTTCTGGCTACACAGGCAGTCAGGTAAAATCATTTTCTCATGTTTTTTTGTGTGCAAATACTAAAAACTGTTTCTGAAATAATAATTTTCTGTGTAAATATAGCATAGGGTTTGCTATATTTGGAAACCAATCTAATTCTGAAATTTTTTTTTACATGCATTTGAGAAAAAAAACATTTCACACTTTTTTTTTTCATTTTTTAATTTTTTAATCTTCTCATTGTTTTTATAGTTATTATGTAGTTTTAACCGCATTGTCAATTAATTCAATTTAAAAACACTTTTTTGATCCTAAAGGAAAATTAAATAACATTTTTACCTACAAAAATGCACAGAAAAACAAAAAAAAGCAACTCAAGAAATGCAAAATATGTGCAATAATACCAGTGACACTTATTCCTATATAACTAGTAGTTTCACAAAGGTTTCAATTTCAGTAACCAATAATGTTAGGACATGTGTCTCACCTTTTGTTCCAAACAAAATAGGACGACTATCAAATTGTATTTCGATCCAGTGTTGTTGTTTTTTTTTCATTCTTTGAACAAAAAATAATTACAAAGAAACAACAGTCTGGATGTTTTAGTCGAGTTAAAGTCTCTCCTCTTTGTTTCCACTCCAGATTCTTTAAATACTCATTCCTTCCAGCTACTTTCTGACTTTCGCAAACCAAAAAGAGTGGCGGGCATCTTTAGCTCCGAGCTACTTTCCTCTCACCGTCTCCTACTGTGTTTCAGAAAGCTTCTCTCCAAAGAAAAGCAGCCGCCTGTCGACAGCGTCATCGCCGCGGGCCTCATCCCGCAACTCGTAGGCTTCCTGGCTCTGTTCGACTTCCCCCACATCCAGTTCGAGGCGGCCTGGGCGCTGACCAACGTCGCCTCGGGGACGTCGGAGCAGACGGCCGCCGTGGTGGAGGCCGAGGCCATCCCGGCCTTTGTCAGGCTGGTTGCGTCGCCTCACAAGCACCTCAGCGAGCAGGCTATCTGGGCTCTCGGCAACATCGCTGGTACGCTGGAAAAGGCTGGTGGAGTGGGAGTTTTGCAATTGTTTATTGGGATATTTTTTTTCTTCGTCTTCTTTTTTGCATCAAAATCACAAGCTTTTGTGGGGCGAACACTGAAACATTTGCAAGGAATGTTGAGATATTTGCGGGGTTCTTTTTCCAGTTGATACATACTGCCACCTGCAGGTGGGCAAGCTCATTGATGTAAAATATCAGTACATGAAATGTGTACATTTATTAATTACAAACAGACTTGTTTTTAAGCCTTGATGTCTGTTGGGTAATGTAATGTGACTTTTAAAATTAGAATATT